GACTATAGAAAGTGGAGAGATCTCCCATGCTCATGGATTGGTAGAATCAACATAGTAAAAATGTCGATACTCCCAAAGTAATCTACATGTTTAATGCAATTCCCATCAAAATTCCAATGACATTCATTAAAGAGATTGAAAAATCTACTGTTAAATTTATATGGAAACACAAGAGGCCACGAATAGCCAAGGCAATACTCAGTCAAAAGAACAATGCAGGAGGTATCACAATACCTGACTTCAAACTATATTACAAAGCAATAACAATAAAAACAGCATGGTACTGGCACAAAAACAGACATGAAGACCAGTGGAACAGAATAGAGGATCCAGATATGAAGCCACACAACTATAAGCAACTTATCTTTGACAAAGGAGCTAAAAATATACGATGGAGAAATAGCAGCCTCTTCAACAAAAACTGCTGGGAAAACTGGTTAGCAGTCTGCAAAAAACTGAAACTAGATCCATGTATATCACCCTATACCAAGATTAACTCAAAATGGATCAAGGATCTTAATATCAGACCCCAAACTCTTAAGTTGATACAGAAAGAGTAGGAAATACTCTGGAGTTAGTAGGTATAGGTAAGAACTTTCTCAATGAAACCCCAGCAGCACAGCAACTAAGAGATAGCATAGATAAATGGGACCTCATAAAACTAAAAAGCTTCTGTTCATCAAAAGAAATGGTCTCTAAACTGAAGAGAACACCCACAGAGTGGGAGAAAATATTTGCCAACTATACATCAGACAAAGGACTGATAACCAGAATATACAGGGAACTTAAAAAACTAAATTCTCCCAAAACTAATGAACCAATAAAGAAATGGGCAGTGAACTAAACAGAACTTTCTCAAAAGAAGAAATTCAAATGGCCAAAACACATGAAAAAATGCTCACCATCTCTAGCAATAAAGGAAATGCAAATTAAAACCACACTAAGATTCCACCTCACCCCTGTTAGAATAGCCATCATCAGCAACACCACCAACAACAGGTGTTGGCGAGGATGCGGGGAAAAAGGAACCCTCTTACACTGTTGGTGGGAATGTAGACTAGTACAACCACTCTGGAAAAAAATTTGGAGGCTACTTAAAAAGCTGGACATCGATCTACCATTTGATCCAGCAATACCACTCTTGGGGATATACCCAAAAGACTGTTACTCCAGAGGCACCTGCACATCCATGTTTATTGCGGCACTATTCACAATAGCCAAGTTATGGAAACAGCCAAGATGCCCCAGCACTGACGAATGGATTAAGAAAATGTGGTATCTATACACAATGGAATTTTATGCAGCCATGAAGAAGAACGAAATGTTATCATTCGCTGGTAAATGGATGGAATTGGAGAACATCATTCTGAGTGAGGTTAGCCTGGCCCAAAAGACCAAAAATCGTATGTTCTCCCTCATATGTGGACATTAGATCAAGGGCAAACACAACAAGGGGATTGGACTATGAGCACATGATAAAAGCGAGAGCACACAAGGGAGGGGTGAGGATAGGTAAGACACCTAAAAAACTAGCTAGCATTTGTTGCCCTTAATGCAGAGAAACTAAAGCAGATACCTTAAAGCAACTGAGGCCAATAGGAAAAGGGGACCAGGAACTAGAGAAAAGGTTAGATCAAAAAGAATTAACCTAGAAGGTAACACCCACGCACAGGAAATCAATGTGAGTCAATGCCCTGTATAGCTATCCTTATCTCAACCAGCAAAACCCCTTGTTCCTTCCTATTATTGCTTATACTCTCTCTACAACAAAATTAGAGATAAGGGCAAAATAGTTTCTGCTGGGTATTGAGGGGGGGAGGGGAGGGGGTGGAGTGGGTGGTAAGGGAGGGGGTGGGGCAGGGGGGAGAAATGAACCAAGCCTTGTATGCACATATGAATAATAAAAGAAAAATGAAAAAAAAAAAAAAAGAAAAGCAAACTCCACCAGGTGGCTCACATCTGTAATCCTAGCAGTGATCAGGAGAATCACAGTTAGAAACCAGCCTGAGCAAATAGTTCATGAGACCCTATCTCAAAAAAACCCATCACAAAAAAAGGGCTGGTGGAGTGGCTCAAGGTATAGGCCCTAAGTTCAAACCCCAGTACTGCCAAAAAAACCCTCTTTAAATTAGTTGGGTGTGTTGGTGCATAGCTATAATCCCAGCTACTAGGGAGGCTGAGGCAGAAGGATCTCAGTTCAAGGCTAGTCTGGGTAAAGAAAGAAGTGAGACCCTGACCCAAAAACAAAATAAAAACAAAGGATCTAGAGGTATAGCTCAAGTGGTATAAGGCTTGCCTAGCATGCTCAAAACTCAGGATTCAATCCTGCAGTTCAAAGAGAAGATTTTAAAATATTGAATAAAATTAAATTGATATGACAGATGTCAAATATAGAGAATAACAGTTCATTGAATCCTCACCATTGTTCCACAGGTCATTACTTCCATCAACTTTGAAGTCTCTTTCTAAATCTTTTCATATCATTTCATGGCTCAAGTGGTAGAGTGCTTGCCTAGCAAACACAAGGTCCTGAGTTCAAATCCCAATACCACCAAAAAATTATAAAGTAACATAAATGTGTCCCTAAACCTATCATTTCCTCAAAAAGCTAATGACCCTGGATTTCAGTAATCATTTCTTAGAATTTTCTTTAAGGTTTTAAAGCATAGTTATTCATATACCCCTAAAAATATTTTCAGTTTGCAATTTTGAACTTTATATAAATGAAATAATTCTGTTTTCTGTCTTAACTTATTCATATATACCTATTTATTTGCATTAAATGCCAATATTTTTCCCTCACAAATACTGCGGCTATAAATACTCATATACACTGTCAAATAAAAAATAAATCTAGTCTCAGTAAGGAGAGACTTTAGTAGTGAGAACTATTGCAAAAGAGAAAAGGAAGTACTGCAATTAGGAGGAGTGGGACTTTGCAGCAGGAAGGGGATCTCAAGGGCTAGGCAAAAGGGTTTTTCTTTTATAGGAAGGAGTAAACAAGGTTAGAAAGAACTGGGTGGAGCAGGGTGCTGGTGGCATGAGCCTGTAATCCTAGCTGTTTAGGACGCAGAGATCAGCAGGACTGCAGTTCAAAGCCAGCCCAGGAAAATAGTTCTCAAGACCCTATCTCGAAAAAATTCATCACACACACAAAAAAAGGGCTGGTGGAGTGACTTAAGGTGTAGGCCCTGAGTTTAAACCCCAATACTGCAAAAAAAAACAAAAAAACCAAAAAAAACAAAACTGGGTGTGAGGAAGTGAAATGATCAGGAGAGGCATGATGAGCCAGGTGCCAGAGGCTCACACCTGTAATCCTACCTACTTGTGAGGCTGAGATTGGGAGGATCACAGTTTGAGGACAGCCAGGGCAATTAGTTCACGAAACCCTCATTTCCAAAATAACCACAGCAATGGACTGGAGGCATGGCTCAAGCAGCAGAGCTTAGCAAGTGTGAAGCCCTGAGTTCAAACCCCAGTCCCACAAAAAAAAAAAGAGTCATGATGGGTCAGTAGATTGGAAAATGTTTTACTCTGAAGCCAGCCTATTTTCAAGAGGGACAGGTGAGGAGGAGTTGTAGTTGGCTCAAGCTGAGGGTTGGCCAACGTTCAGGGACTTAGGGGAAGGGAAGAAGCTAACCAAGCATGTTTGATTAACAAGCATTTTGTTCTGATTGATCTGTGGGGACAAGAAGTTAAGCATGGGCCAGTGTGGTGGTATACATCTGTAATCCCAGCTACCTGGGAGGCTTAGATAGGAAGATAACTGCTTAAGGTCAGCCGGGGCAACAAGTTAGCGAGAGACAGTACCTCAACAAATAAGCTCGACATGATGGCATAAATTTGTAATCCCAGTTACTGGGGAGTCGGAGGGATCTGAGTCTGGCAGGGCGAAAGTCAAGCCCTATCTGAAAAATAAACTAAAGCCTAAAGTAAAAAGGGATAGGGGCGCCATGCAAATGGTGGAGCTTAAGGGCAAGGTCTTGAGTTCAGACCGCAATACAGCAAAAAAACTAAACAAAAAAACCTCAGCTAAAGCTTTTATGAAGCGGGGAATTGGAATTTGGAATCTGTGTCTGGCGTCATCACAAGGAGGCATCTGTGAGCCTTACCTAAGTCAGATGGGGAAGGGTGTTCCTTTGCAGTAAACTGTGTTCTGAACACAAAAAGGATGGGGGTGTGTCCTTAACCGTCACTGTTTTCCAGAATCAAAGGCTCTGGTCATATTCTAAACTATCAGATTATTTCTTGAAAAACATGTACAAGAATTTCTTTAAAGTATATACTTAGAAGTAGAATGGCTGGGTCAAAAGATATGTAGCTTCGCTTTTACTAGGTAAACGGTTGCATCAACTTACATTTCCAGTAGTAGTGTGACAGCTCCAGGTCCACCATTTGAGCACTGGCCCTTGAGGATTTAAAAATTAGCCAATGTGGTGGATGAGAAGTGGGGCTCCTTGCACTTCCTTCAACTATTGTGACTGAGCATCTTTCATTATTAATTAAACGTATATGTTTCCTCTTCGGCCCATTTTTTTCTAGGCAAGAACTCTTATCATTTGAGCTACTCCGCCAGCCCTCGGCCCATTTTTCTATTCTGTGGTTTGGCTTTTTTCTTACTAATCGGTGAGAGTTCATCAATGTTTTGAAAGAATAAATGGATGAACGGCTAAAAAGGTTCTAAACTGAGGAAGACTGATTAAGATTTAGCAGACCCTCAACAACTATATAGCTTTAAAAATGACGCCTCCAGCTGGTCTCAGCTTGATCCTCAGTTAAGCCTTCTTGAAGACTTCTATAACCCCACTTTTCAGGTGAGTTTTTTCATCATTGTCAAAGCACACGGACAACTTCTCCTGGTCCTTCCCGGATACAGCTTCCACATACGGTTTAGCCTGACAAATTCACCACCAGTCACGGGTTCTGCAATTTCCGGCAACTGCATGGATTCTCGGCAGTCTCGCGAGAGTTGGTTCCCGCAGATCATGTGACCATCCAAGATGGCGGCGCCCACCGAGATGGAAGAAGAGGAGGCAGTTTATCTAGTAGTGACCGGCATTCCCTCTACGTTGCGATCGGCCCAGCTTCGGAGCTACTTTAGTCAGTTCAGGGAACAGCGCGGTGGGGGATTCCTCTGTTTTCACTACCGGCATCGGCCGGAGAGAGTTCCTTCCCAGGCCGCTTCCCATTCTGCCCCATCTTCTTCCGACCCTGCGATGGAGGGTCAGGTTCTCACCCAGACCCCGGCCACCGATGCCCGCGCTCTCTCTACTGCGGTCCAGACTCGCACCTGCTGCTGCATTATCTCAGTACGGGGATTAGCTCAAGCCCAGAAGGTTGTTCACATGTACTCGGGCCGCCGGTGGCTGGATTCTCAGGGAATTTGGCTTCCGGGTCGCTGTGTCATCCGTAGACTTAGGCTACCCACTGAGGCATCAGGTATGAGAAATAAAGACAACGGACTGGGCCTACGGGTTTTGGGACGGAAGCATCCTTTCTGAGTGTTGGAGAAGTTAAGCCAAGCCTCTGGTTACGATTCTACAAGTTCAGTCATTTCTGGACAGAGCTTCAGGCTCGATTTGCACCTTAGTTTAACTTGGGGATTTAAAAGGTTTATTCAGATAATCTTCTATTTTCCAATGTATTCTATTTTGTTCTTTTTGAGATCCTTTTCTATATCTGGGGAGTTGATTTTGCACTAACACACAGGGAATAAAGGAAATTGGGTTTCTGTTAACTTACAGAGACCAACTTTCCAAAGAAGAGTTTATTTGGAAAAGAGGGATTGAAGTTGGGGAATTCTTGTGCCATGCGGAACCATGGTGAACCATATCCAGGGAGGCAAAGGAAAGATTTTTTAAGAGGCAAAATGAGGATGTTTGCATAAGTTGTTTTGAAACAATTATCTTACAAGGATCAATAACAAGGGTGGCATCAGTTCAGGGTTGAAAAGGCAGTTGTTGGGCAGGTGCCCTCTTAGAAGTACTTTTTGTGCCAGGTTGTGGTGGTCTGTGCAAGGTTGTGGTTTTGGCAGGGTCTGTGGGGACTGTATCTTTAATCAGGGAGATATATGCTGGAGAACCCTCCCTTTGTGCTCTCCTGGCTTTATTTTGTTAAGCTTTCCCATAAGTGACTCCGTGTAGATTTTCTGACGACTTTCATATAACTCTCTTACTGTCTTTCCCTCTTGCATCTCTTTGGCTTCTCACCCAGACAATCTCTTTTCTCTGGACATTAAACACTTGGAAAGCCACTTTTTTGGAGAAACAGGAAGTACAGTGCAGAGCCCTCTAATTTACTCATTCAATAAGTGCTCATATTGTTAGATCTAGTGTGACATAAATTGGTATGCACAGAACAGTAGGACACAGTCTGTGCTTAGAATCCACCGAGAAAGACAGATTTGGAAAAGGTTAATTGTTACAGAGATTCTAATGTTAACCATTACTGAGCATGCTGTATATACTTGTTTTCTCAGTACTGGGGTTTGAAAGAGCCTTATGCTTGCTAGGCAGATGCTCTTACCACTTGAGCCACTCCACCTGCCCCTTTTTTGTGTTGGGTATTTTTTTTTTTTCGCACTATTGGGGTTTGAACTTGGGGCCTACACCTTGAGCCATCCCACCAGCCCTTTTTTGTGATGAGTTTTTTCGAGATAGGGTCTCTTGAACTATTTGCCTGGGCTGGCTTCAAGCTGCAATCCTCCTGGTCTCTGCCTCCCTAGTAGCTAGGATTACAGGTGCCAGCACCTGGCTAGTACTAGGGTTTTGAACTCAAGGCCTTGCACTTGGTAGGAGGCACTCTATCACTTAAGCAATGTTCCAGCGCACTTTCTTTTCTTTTCTTTTCTTTTTTGAATTTTTTAGAGAGATGGAGCCTCTTTAATTACATAGGATTATGTTACCCAACTTCTGGGCTCAAGAGATCCTTCTGCCTCAGCCTCCCTAATAGCTGGGACTACAGACACTCGTCATTACATCCTGCTAGATCGTATTCTGTTTATCACCAAGTGCTGTTAGATGACAGAGAAGGGAGAAACCAACATCCTAGAGAGTTCAGGAATGTAATTTTTTATCTGGATACTGAAAGATAAAAAGGAGTTTGTAGGAAAGAACTGTGTTCAAGATAAATGGCATTTGCAAAGACAGAAGAAATCCTGTGAAACTCTCAGCATATGATAAACTGTTTGGTATAGCTGAGACAAAAGATATGAAAAAGATATGAGAGTGTGTATGGGTGGGAGCTGGTGACAGTTGAGAATCCGAAGGTTAGCATGTGACTGGGAATGTAGCTCAGAGTTAGAGTGCTTGCTTAGCATGGGTAAGGCCCTGTGTTTCTTCCCTAGCACACACACAAAAAAAAGTCAACATAAGTTTGAATGGTAACAACATTAGGGTAACATTTAAAATGTGACTGATTCTGGCTTAGGTGTTACTGGAAGCTCAGGAAGCTTCTGGGTTTCAAAATCTATTCTCCCTCCTTCCCAAGGTTTGGGTTCCTTTCCCTTTAAGACTCGGAAGGAGCTACAGAGTCGGAAGGCTGAAAATGAAGCCTTCACCCTGGCTGACCTGAGGCAACTGCCGGAGTTAAACCCACCAGTGCTGATGCCTAATGGGAATGTGGGGACTCCCTTGAGGGTCTTTTTGGAGTTGATTCGGGCCTGCCGCCTACCACCTCGAATCATCACTCACCTGCAGCTCCAGTTCCCCAAGACAAGTTCTTTCCGACGATACGGCAATGTGCCCTTCAAGTATGAGGACTCTGAGACTGTGGAGCAGGAAGAGCACGTGTACACAGCTGAGGGTGAGGAAATACCCCAGGGGGCCTGCCTTTCAGATACACCAGCCAGTCCCTGTGAAGAGCCCAAGGAGGAGGAGGAAAAAGAGGAAGAAGAGTCTCGTTCAGATGATGTGAGTATATGTGCCATGCTGTTGCTGGCAGCTTAAAGAACCCAAGGCATTAGGATACCACTGGCCACTTCTCCAACCTCTGTGCTTTCACTGTGTGGCTGAACAGTCACCTCTGGATTCTGACCTTGAGTCAGTGGGTTAAACGCCAGCCTGTACTTTTGATTTTGTCAAAGGAATAGACATTCCATAGACTCCTTTCTCCAGACTTGGTTGTTCACCCATAAAATCAAGTGAGGTGAGATTTTTTTAGAAAAACTGTATTGTATGCTTATATGTGTACTCTGAGTAAAAAGTAAGGCACCTGCATTTCAAAGCTCCCAGCATAGCTACCACATCTGCACCACATCCCTAGTGTGGCACTGTCCTGACTTTTCTCCAGCATCGGCTTTACAGTATTGGTTCCTATGTCCTCCTGGGGTTTAACCAGGACAGGGACCCCAAGAGTTTCAAGCCAGGAGTCATCCTGTTATTCCACAAATCAAACAGTTGTAAGCCAGAGGACTAGCTCATGATTCAAAAGACATCCTTCCACCTATATCCTACCTTCAAAGAACCTAAAATCTTGAAGGGACAGAACCAGCATCTGGGAAGACATATGGAATGATGACGACCTAGGTTTGCATGCTGGCACTACCACTTTCTTGGTGTATTGTCATGGGCAATTCACTTTATTCCTCTGAACCTAGGTTTCCTCATCTAGAGAATGGGAATGATGACACTTAACTCACAGAGTGGTTGGGATGACTAAAGGAGCTGAATTATGGGAAGAGTCTGATACACAGTAGATTCTGTGTTAGTTCTTGTCCCTTCTTTCTTTGTGACATAGTGTATAAAGGCTTAAACAGTGTGCACTGATTAGCACTGAGGGTTCAGAGATTGGTGACAGAGCTATGGACTGAAGTGGGAAGACTTCATGTAGACTGCAGGACTCAAGGGAATGAAAAATATTTAACCAAGAGGAAAAGAAAAGGATGTCGGGGAGGAGGGCACATACATCCGGTCCGGAAACTGCACAGCCAAAAGCACAGAGCTAAGAGTGAGTCAGGCTTGTGGGAGGGGGAACAAACTACATGGAGAATCTTAAGGGGACAGAGAGATGTTTGGTTAAGGCTCTCAGGTCCAAATACACGCTGCTTCTGGAGAACCCTTAAGGTGTGGAGCTCAGGGCCCAGTCCTCTGTGCCCTGAAGCTCCCTCCTCTGAGCCTGAGGTGAGGAAGCTGGATAAGCAGGTCACCTCTCTCCACCTTCTCCAGGATGATGACCGGGGTGAGGAGTGGGAGCGACATGAAGCACTGCACAATGATGTGACCAGGCAAGAGCGGACCACCGAGCGGCTCTTTGAAGAGGAGATTGAGCTTAAGTGGGAGAAGGGTGGCTCTGGTCTGGTATTCTATACCGATGCCCAGTTCTGGCAGGAGGAAGAAGGAGGTAAGGCCATCTGTTAGTCAGTTTTCTGTTACTGTAACAAACATTGGAGATAAATCAATTTATAAAGAGAAGAGGTTGAAGTCAGGTGTGGTGGTGCAGGCCTTGTAATCCCAGCAGGTGGGAGGCAGAGGCAGCAGAATTGCATGTTCAAGGCCAGCCTGGGCTACATAATGACACCCTGTCTCAATTTAAAAAAAGAAATAAAAGGAAAAAAAAAAAAGGGTTGGGGGCATGACTCAGGTGTTAGACTGCTTGCTTAGAAAGTGCAAGGCTTTAAGTTCAATTCCCCCTCACCAAAAAAAAAAAAAAAAAAAAAAAAAAGCCTTTGTACAGAAGTACTTATTTGCTAGGGGTATGACTCAAGTGGTAGAGTACTTGTGTAGCATGTGTGAAGCCCTGGGTTCAATCACCAGTACCACAATTTGAGAGAGAGAAAAGAGGAGAGAGATAAAGAGAGAGGTTTATTTTGGCTCAGTTTCAGAGGTTTCAGTCCATGGTCAATTGGCCCAGTTGTTTTTGGACCTGTGGTGAGGTAACACATTGTGGTAGGAGTTCATGACACAGGAAGCCTATTCACCTCATGGATGGGATGCAAAGAAGAGAGGAGGAAGAGACGTGGATCCTACAGTCCCCTTCAAGGGCATACTCTCAGTAACCTAAAACTTGCCACTAGGCCCTCCTCTCTTTTTTGGGGGGGGGTTGTGGTACTGGGGTTTGAACTTGGGGCCTTGAAATTGCTAGGCAAGTGCTCAACTAGTTGAGCCATGCCCCCAGCCAACAAGAGTTTGTTTTTTGTTTTTTTATTTTGTTTTGGCTTTGAGTTTTTTTTGGCTAAGATTTATCTAGCAAAATAGGATAAAGTAGGAAGAAATAGAAAAGGGAAAGGGGAGCACCTCCTGCTTGACACACAGGGGGTGAGAGAGGAGAGATTCCAAGAGCCTTTCTTTTGAGAGTTTAATTTTTCTTATGCTTCTGAAATTGGCTGCAAAGTGTGTATGTTAAATAGCTAACCCCCAGTATCTCAGAATAAGGTTGTATATGGAGATAGGTTTTTCTTCTTTTTTTTTTGCAGTGTTGGGTATTGAATCCAGGGCCTTGTGCTTGCCAAGCAAGTGTGCTACCACTGAGCCACATTCCCAGATAGACCCCACCTCTTAAAAGTTTTATCACCTCCCAATAGTGCCATGCTAGGGCTAAACCTTTTATACGTGGGGGCTTTTGGAAGACAAAATTTAAGATCCAAATTATAGCAGGCTGACAGCAGTAGTGATCCCTATTGTATTCTCTCAGGGTTCTCTCTTCCACCCTAACAGTGTATTTCCTAACAATGAATGCAAACAAAAAGCTAGGGAACAGGCTTACCTTTATTGTATATGAGAGACTAGTCATCCTTTTTTGGAATGAGGAAGCAGTGGACAGAAAATATGTATCTCTACTTGAATTCTGAATAACCCTCCCAGAGGAAACTTGAAAACACAAACCAGGGCTCCAGGTTCTAGAACATGTGTCTAACTCTAAATTTTGCTCTCAGCAAAATTGAGAGTACTTAATCCACTCTGTTGTTTTTATATTCCTGCAGACTTTGATGAACAGACAGCTGATGACTGGGACGTAGACATGAGTGTGTACTACGACACAGGTACTGAGCAAGCAGAGGACTGGGAGGTGGAACTGGTGCCCTGACCTGCAGGTGACTACACTTTGCTAGACATGCTTAGCAGACGCTAAGACAAAGGACCAGTTCCCTTGGAGTAGCCCTGGACACAGCTGAGGGGATTAGTTCTCGGACCCCCACAAATACCAAAATCTGCAGATGGTCATATCCCTTATATAATATGGTGTAGTATTTGCTTTCAATCTACACACATCCTGTTTGCTTTAAATCATCTACTTTTTTTTTAAAATCATCTCTAGATGTCTCAGAATGCTTAATGAAATGTAAATGCTATGTAAGTAGTTATTATGCTGTATTGTACAGGGAGTGACAAGGAAAAAAAAAGTCTGCCCATGTTCGGTATGGATGCACTTTTTATTCCTGAGTATTTTCAATCAATGGTTGGTTGAATGCACAGATGCAGACCCTGTAGATACAAGGGCCATCATGCGCTCATCATCTCTAGTTGTGTTCACTAAATGCTGGTATGGACAGAGCCTTTTTCCTTTTTCTGTGAGGAGAAAGGACACAAGGGAACAGACCTCAGGAAGCTCTGGGTCTGATGGGCAGGCCCTGGTGGAATGGGATGTTCAGAAGCTCGGGTTCTGGTCGGAATGTATTTTGGGACTAAAAAATGATCTGGGGGTCAGGGGAGCGAGACCTGAGGTGTAATTTCATCTATTGGCCCTGTGACATTTCTGCACCACAAGCTTATCTATAAGATGGGAGGAGCCATTGTTCCTGTTCTTGCTGAGCCCCCAGTCTAATGAGAGAGATAACAGGACATCATGAAAGTGAATCAGTAAATCTTGGGAGGGAATCCTAGAACCCTGAACCCTTCCCTTCTGTTGAGAAGGAAACTTCCACAAACTGGGCTGTTTCTTCAGATGGTGGAGACAAGGACGCTCGAGACTCTGTCCAAATGCGTCTGGAACAGAGGCGTCGTGATGGCCAGGAAGATGGGTCCATGATTGGACACCAGGTGGGCACCTTTGAGCGACATACTAAGGTGAGTGAGCACTCTGCTCAGCCCACTGACCCCATCTATTTTCCTTCTTTACCTCCATTATTTCCTTTTTTTTGAAACAGGATCTGTCTATGTGGACAGGCTAGTTGTGAACTAGCACCCCTCCTGCCTTAGCCTGAGATTACAGGTGTGCATTACTACATCTCACTTGAGTCAATTTCTTGAGTCTTGCCCTTCCCTCTGCAGGGTATTGGTCGGAAGGTAATGGAGCGCCAAGGCTGGGCTGAGGGCCAGGGCCTGGGCAGCAGATGCTCTGGGGTGCCTGAGGCCCTGGATGGTGATGGCCAACACCCCAGATGCAAGCGTGGATTGGGGTGAGTATGGCTGAGGAACTTTCAGCTATGTCCTGGTTTTCCTCTTTCCATTGGTTTTGGGGTGGATATTGGGTATGCCTAGGGGATCAACTTTAAAGCAGAGTTGGAAGGAAAAAGTAAATCTGCCACTACTCCTTTTTGTTTTAGCCCAAACCCTATTCCTTAACAGAATCCCCTAGAAGAATAATTCTCCCCAGCCTGAGTTTGGACTCAGTAACTGTTAGGGACCCTGTAGTGATGGAATGATGATGGAATGAAAATTCTATCTGAGGTCCCTGGTTGCTGGCACAGGGTAAATCCAGATTTAAAGCTGTGTCTTTGGGGCTGTGGGTGTGGCTCAGTGTGCTTGCCTGGCACACAAGGGCCCTGGATTCAATCACCAGTACTTCGTGCAAAAAACACAACAACAACCAGAAGTAATTCTGTATATGTAGTAGCTACTTCCCTGTCCTTTCCCAGCCTCTTTACTGGAGCTGTAGACGCAGCAGTTCTCTTATTGAAAGCCCTTTTTTATCCAGATACCATGGAGAGAAGCTCCAGCCATTTGGGCAACTGAAGAGGACACGTAGAACTGAATTGGGGCTCATTTCCACCATCTATGATGAGCCTCTACCCCAGGACCAGAGGGAGTCCCTGCTCCGCAGCCAGCCACCCACTAGAATGAAGTTTCGGACAGACATGGCCTTTGTGAAGGGTTCCAGTTGTGCCGTGGACAGCCCCTCAGAGCCCGAGTGAGGGTTGAGGGCTTCCTTGGTCAGAATCACTCACAGCTGCAGGATGGCGGCCTTGTCTACCACTGAAGCACAAAGGAGTCTGGAAGAGTCGCAGTTCTGAGCCTGCTTCCGGGTCTCTACCTCATGGGCATTAAAAAAACACCACTACAAAAACACGACCCTACCCGTCGGATATTAGGATTTAATGGCCTCTCCACCTTGGTTCGTTTGTGCTTGCCCCGGAGAGCTGGACTGCCTGAGGCCACCAGCACTATCTTCCTTGGGGGGGGGGTCGGGGGGGGGGTCTCCCCAGGGAAAAAGACGTGAAGACTTGGCTGATTCAAGAGAGGGTCTCGGCCAGCTCTTGCACCTCTACCCTCAGCTGGAGGAGCGTAGGGAGAGTCTGCTGGATGGCTCGGGTTTGCGACGGAGCGGAATAACGAAGTTTGCAACTGTGTCCGTGCAGAATCTTCTATCCGGCCTGAGGAGAGCCATAGGAATCCCGAGACAGGACCTCCCAGGGGCCGGAGTCCCCGCGGGAGAATGCGGCTGCGTGGCCACGCCCCGGCGCTAGCTAATACGTCACCGCCGTGAGGGCGGGACTTCCTCTGCGGTGCAGTTTCCGTCGCCATCCGGAAGTAAAGAGCGGGTTCCGTCAGTGCTTTGCCATTTGCTTGAGTTCACGTTCTTTGGCAACTCCAGGGCACTGTTGCCAGCTATCAGGCAAGTGTACGATCAGGGACCCTCGCTCTGGACCCCGTCACAGCTGCCAGCCCTGTTTCTTCGCTGAGCTGGCTTGCTCAGCCCCAGGCGGCGTTCCGCCCATGGCGGGGGCCGCTCTGGCCACGGCCTTCGGGCAGGCAGTGATCGGCCCGCCGGGCTCGGGGAAGACACCCATACCTGAGTTGCGTTGGAGTAAAAGAGTTGTTAGTTCGATTTTTGCCTCTGTCACTGACTTGCTGTGTGTGTGATCTAGGTCACTCACCTCTCTAACTGATTTGTTAATACCAAGCTTGGGATTTTTGGAAATAGGGACTGAATTATGTAGAAAGAGGCAGAATGGGCTGGTAGTGTGGCTCAAGTGGTAGAGCGCCTGCCTAGCAAGCGTGAGGCCCTGAGTTCAAACCCCGCTACCACCAAAAATAAAATAAAAAGTTAAAAAGAAAAGGAAAAGTGACATGATGTGTTTTCTTTTATTTTCTTTTTCTTTTTTTTGACAGTACTGGGGTTTGAATTCAAGGTTTCATGCTTGCTAGGCAGGCGCTCTACCACTTGGGCCACTCCACCCGCTCCTTTTGTGTGTGTGTTGGGAATTTTCAAAATAGGATCTCTTGAACTATTTCCCTGAGCTGGCCTCAAACTATGATCCTCCTGATCTCTGCCTCCAGATTAGCTAGGATTACAAGCATGAGCCATCAGCATCCCGCTGCATGATGATTTTTGTAAGTTGGTAGGCTTAAGTCAGTGAAAGAATGAAAGCCAGGCATAGTAGCATTCACCGACTGAAGCAGAAGGATGACCAGTTCCAGGACAGCCTGAGCTACAAAGCAAGAAGGGGACAGGGTAGAGAAGGAGGGAGGAAGGGAAAGGAAGGGAGAAAGGAAGGAGGGAGGGAACTAAAAAAAGAAAGGGTTTGGGGGCATGGTTCATGTGGTAGAGTGCCTAACTAACAAGCACAAGACCCTGAGTTCACACCCCAGTACTGCCTTCCCCCCCACCCAATGAAAAGGGCAGGTCATGCTGGGGAATTTGCACCTGTTGCCCACTGGGAGGCTCATGTAAGGTATTTTGTAAGAAATTTCGCATGCCTCCTGAGAAAAGGACATGAGGGTGGCTATTAGAACAAAACAAAAGCTGGAGGATGTTTTTGGTTAAAGCTTACACTCAGGCCTCAAGTTTCTCATTTGATGAGAGAAACATAGGCCCAGACATTCCCTACCTCCCCAGGTCACTCTCACCCTGTTTCTTCTTCTCCCAGTTGACTGCTGTTCACCTTGTGGATTCTCACTACTGCACAGACCCAGCCAAATTCATTTCAGTACTGTGCACCTCCCTGGCTACCATGCTGCATGTGGAGCTGCCCCACGTCAACCTCCTCTCCAAGATGGACCTCATTGAGCACTATGGGAAGCTGGGTAAGAGTTCTGTTTTGGGCATGAAGGAGCAAGGCAGCACTTGGTCTGGGGTGAAACACAGATCTCAGGAAGCCCATGCATGGCCTGAAGCCACAACAGGCCCTGACTCCTGCTCATTTACTTTGTGCCATGTGCCAGATACTATTGTAGATTTTGGAGATGAGAGCTCCAGATGGTGATGTGTGTTAAGAAGGAATTAAAACAAGGTGATATGATTGAGTGGCTGGGGAAGAAGGAAGTGAACAATGCCTGGCTGCTGTGAGACAGTGGCATATGGTGAGAGGGAGCCAGGTGAGGGAGGACCGCTTTTATACAGAGGGTTTAGTGGGGGGTAAGGCTTTGTCTTAGTTTGGGCTACTGTAATAAAAATACCATCAACCAAATGGCTTAAACAGCAAGCACTTATTTCTCAGTTATGGAGGCTGGGAAGTCTAACATCAAGATACTGGCAAATCTAGGGTCTGGTGAGGGCCTGCTCTTGGCTTTGAGACAGTCACCTTATAACTGTATCCTTACATGTCAGAGACATGTTAGAGACATGGGGGTGCTTGGGTAGGTAGGCATAAGGTGAGAAAAATTGAGGGAGAAACAGGTTGGCATGAGACAGGAGAGTTGTGTAGAGTCCCAATGGCCGGATTTTTTCCCTGCCAAATTAGTGCTGTGCTGTGCTGGAAGCATTTGTTCCTTAAATAGAACCTCAAGCCATAAAGGAACCTAGAAAAGAGTTACTAAAATGACCAGCGCATGAGCAGAGAGAAAGGTTGTTGGAGAAGTGACATGGCATTGGCCTTGTCCAGGGAAGATTAACTAGCTACCGGTCAGGACAAAATATCAGCACCTCAGAGGGGCCACTTCAGCGTGGAGTCCCTTAGGTCATCTTAGCAGTCCCAAGTGCTTGAATTTTTTGGGCAGAAATAGTATAGGGAGGCCTACTTCTGTTAGCAGGAAGTTATTCATAAAATTGAATCAGGAACCTCACATCTGATCTGGTCTCTTCATTTTAGATTAAGAAGAAACTGGTGGCCCAGAAAGGGAAAGTGATTTGCCCAAGAGACCTGCTGCTAGAATGCAGTAATAATTCAATTTTAGGGTTTGATCTGACCATGAGTTTTAAGAGGCAGGGACTAAACACAGTTTTCAGTACGTCTTTGAATATCGTTGTTTACTCCCATTGATCGAGCACTTCCATGTACCATGCAGTGTGGTTTATAGCATTTAATCCTCACAAAGTCCCATGAGGTGGAGACCTATCTATAGCTATCTGTAGTAAATGGCAAAGCCAGCAGGTAAAACCAAGTGTGTTCTTCTTAGTAACTTCATTTCACAATAGCAACAAGTATTTCAGTGAATGAAGACAGGGGAAAAGAAGAAAATATGGTCCCATTTCATTTATTTATTTTTTGTGGTGCTAGTGATGGAAGCCAGAGCCTCAAGTGTGTTAGCCAAATGTTATACCACAGAGCTACACCCCAAGTCCATAGATTTTGGCTCCCCACACACTGCTGAGGCTTGAACCCAGGGCCTCATACATACTGACCACATGCTTTACCACTAAGCTGCATCCCAAACTCTCCAATCCTTGGGTCTTTAGTCTAATATTAGCTGGTCCTAAACCATGGTGTCTTTTCTTAGCCTTCAACCTTGACTATTACACAGAGGTCTTGGACCTCTCCTACCTGCTTGACCACCTGGCTTCTGACCCTTTCTTCAGCAACTACCGCCAACTCAATGAGAAACTGGTGCAGCTCATCGAAGATTATAGCCTGGTCTCCTTTATCCCTCTGAACATCCAGGTATCGGGTACTTTGAGGCTTCTTCCTCTACCCTAAGCCCTGACATGCCTAGAACTCACTAGCCAAGAGACAGAAAGATTTGAGAGCTAAAACAATGGTCTTTGTCCTGGGTTTATTTGTGGGGCCCCTGTTTTCAGGACCAGGGGCTGTAGTGGGCATGACAAAGAGACTGGAGGAATGGCTCAAGCAGTAGAGCGCCTGCCTCACAAGTGCAAAGCCCTGAGTTCAAATTCCAGAGAGAGAGAGAAGAGGGTGAACCAAACTTTTGCTCTGTCATTTCATGTTTGAAAATGAGTGAGTCCAGAAAGTCACCAGCAAGGGACTCCACCAGGACCAGGGACAAGTGTGTTAGACCCATTCAGCGGGGTAACTTTATTGAGTTCGCAAAGTAGTACCCAAGTCCTGTGCCTCTCACCTTGCCCCTGTAAAGATAACCTAGGAACACAGGTGTGTCTGTGTGTGTTAGATTCCTCTCTGCAGTGGGTAGACCTGAGTTAACTTGTCTCTTTCCTTTCTAATGCCACACTTCTCTGCTTTGAGGAGGAGAGTTATATAGTGTACATACATAACAGCTTCCATTTATTGAAGGCTTTGTCTGCCAGGCACTGATTGCAGTATTTTGATCTGTCCTTTCCACTGTGTGACACAGGAACTATTCCTGTTACTGTATGTGGATAAAGAAGCAATTATAGGTTAAGTAACACATATTTATTAAGTGCCTACCTAGTAGTACTGTGCCAGGCCTGAGGATACAGTGACATATGACACCCTGACCGTAAGAGGTATGTGGTCAAGTAAGAGGGCAGATGAGTTACTAGGAATTTATTTCTAAGATGGTAGAGATACCATCTGTAACAGGAATGAACTAGGAGACTGAGTGTGCCTAGAGGAATTTATGTGTTCTAATCTGGGTAGGTGGGTGGTCAGGAAAGATGGGATTTAAGACAGGTCTCTGCAGACATGTAGAATTACTCCAGGCCAAGGAAGCTGTGTGTACAGTGACATCATGAGATGCGATCAGGGAGGGTGTATTTGGAGATTGTAGGCAGTTTGATATAGCATCAGTTCTACATACCTCTGTTTTACTCACAGAATTGTTTCTTATTCCTTCTCAGGACAAAGACAGCATCCAGCGAGTTCTGCAGGCTGTGGATAAAGCCAATGGCTATTGTTTCGGGGTACAGGAGCAGCAAAGCCTGGAGGCCATGATGTCTGCTGCAATGGGAGCTGACTTCCATTTCTCCTCGTATCCTTACTCCCAGCCTCACCCACTTCCTGGCCATAGCTATGAGGCCAGGGGCTCAGGATCGGCACAGGAGGTGCAGTCACCACCCTGTGGATGACTGATTTCATACTGGCCAATTGGGCTCCCTGGTGCCTCTTTATATTTGCAAAGGCTGGTACCTTAGAAGGCTTTGGAATTGTCTGTATGTCCAACCCTGGATGCAGGTTTCTCATTAAAAGAGATAGGAGCTGGCAGATGTGCTTCATTTGAGGGAGCCATTTGTCATCCAATGAGAGGCTATGTGTGAGGCAAGAAAGGGAAGTCCATGCCCTCTAGGCTGATGGTCTCAGAGGTCCAGCCTCTACGTAAAGATGGGGTCCTTCCAGCCAACACTAGCTGATCTCCATCAGGCCTTTTACTTATTGGAAATGCAGCTCATGAGGACAGGTGAGTTACAAATGACGGCAGGAGAGCATGCCCTTCCTCATGAAGGAACCATGGAACTGCGTGACACGTGCAGTCAGTGTTGGCAGTGCCAAGTCTTGTCATTTGTGAATGTGATTCCTGTCCTTCTCCATTTTGCTGCTGTCCTAGAGAACATAGGAGACATCCTGTGGGCCAAGCAAAAATTTGTTATTTTCTTTGAGCCTTTGTAAATTCTTTCTCTTGGCAAAAAAAAAAAAAAAAGGGATGATAGCACTTATGAGCACCTCCTGAGTGACAGGTGTCATGCTTGGCACTTCATATTCATTGCCTCATTTCATCCTTACAACAACTCTCCAGTGATCATTTCACAGGAGAGAAAAAAGTGGCAAAATCAGGACTTGAATTCTCCTGGTCTGGCTCCACAGCATGTGCCATAGCCCAGAGCTTGGCAGGTTAGTGCTCCCTGGTCCTTTGATCACCAGAGTGTGGGGTAGAAGCAAATATTAGGGACATTTGGGGCTGTTTCTCAGACCGATTGGTCTCTGTTGCCCATGCCTGATTATGAGGAAAGGAGAGGAATGGGAGGAATATGCTAGATTTGGTTGGAGGGTGGACATCTGTGGAGGTCACATACTGCTAGGGCCAGTCCTCTGTCTTCTGCCTATGCTATTTGCCTTAACACACCATCTCTCAGCACACTGGGCATCCAGGAAAAGTACTTAGCACCCTCAGGCCAATCAGTGGAGCAGGAAGCCATGCAGCTATAGCAACAGCTTGGCTCTGGAGAGCAGAAGACAGCTCAGCAGGCCACAGACCCAAGTCCTCTCAGCTGTCAAGGGAACATTCGGCTCTATAGAGGACTTCTGAACAAAAAGCCAGACATGGCAAAGAGCAGAGCACTGACCACACCCATCTGTGATGCTTTGAGCTCTGGGCCTTGACCCTAGAAAGTTCAACCAGGATGTTTGGGACTGACTCTACTTGGGCTGTGATGGAATGCATTATAATGTGAGTTTATTTTCTACTTGGCATGACTTCTAAACTTTTCTTCAACCCTCCAGGCCCAAGGACTTGGAGCCGGACGCAGGAATATTACCATCCTTCTGGAGAGTTTTTTCCCCCAAAGCACAGGACCTGTCACACTAGAGCATTGACACTCACTCTCCAGTTGTGTGCTTTTGTTTATTTTCAGTTTTAATGGTGATCCTCAAGCTCAAGCCTTCACAGGGGACACTTCTTAACTAGACCTTACTTAATGTTGTTTTCATTGTATGTTTCATGATTTTAGTCCATTTTTGGCAAGTGTTTACGAGTTAAAGTTTAAAAGATTAAAAATTGTACCAGGGATATAGCTCAATGGTAGGACTCTTGCTTAGCCAGTGCTGCATGAGGCTCTGGAGTCAATCACCAGCACTGCCATTAAAAAAAAAAAAAAGATTGAAGGCTGAAGACTTGCTTCTTTTCTTTCTTTCTTTCTTTTTTTTTTTTTGTAAAGGGTTTTTTCCAGGTAAGGTCTCACAGGCTGGCTTTGAATTGTGATCCTCCTGATCTCTGCCCCCTCAGTAGCTAGGATTATAGGCATGAACCACTGGTGCCTGACTAAAGGCTTACTTCAAAAATGAAATTTGCTGGGCACCGGTGGCTCATGCCTGTAATCCTAAATACTTGGGAGGCTGAGACTGTGAGGATAGTGGTTCGAGGCTAGCTCAGACAAATAGTTTGTGAGACCCCATGTCCAAAATAAGCAAAGCAAGATCAATTAGAGGTGTGGCTCAAGCAGCAGAGCACCTGCTTTACAAGCTGGTGCCCTAATTCAAACCCCAGTCCCACCAAAAAAAAATGTATGCATAGTAAATTGTTTAGAAAAAAGTTTTAAGGGTAGTTGTTAATGAGAATGTGCAAAAATTAATATGACTTGAAGCTGGGAAATACTGCTGTTTCTTTGCTGTTTTTGCAGCTAGTAGAATGTAGTTCATATTTTCAACCGGTAGGCGGCACCCCAGACTTACTAGCAGTTGTAATCTGGCAGATTGATGTCCTAGGAAAGGTGGTTGTGTCAGAAGTCTTACTTGTAGACCTCTGGGCTTATTAACACATATAAAGGGCTTGGCATTTTACAAAGTGTCTCTACACACTTCATCACATGATTCTCACAGCAACCTTTAGAGCTAGACAACGTGGGGAATATCACTAACCCATTTCCTGGTTTAGGGGGAGAAAACAGGGAGTTTGAACTTCAGTGAACCTGGGTCTCTGCCAGCCTCCTTTGCTGCTGTAATTGTGAGTGTCCTTCCTTTTATACTTATTGGTGAAAAGTTACAGCCCTTATCTTAGCATTTATAGTCAATCAGAAGAAAGAATTTAGGCATCTGTAAATGAATTATGACTACTAAATCATAAATCATAAATCAAGGTAAGGGCTGGGACATGACTGCCTAGCAAGCACAAGGCCCTGAATTCAAACCTCAGGACCACCAAAAATAAATGAACAGGAAGATAGGCTACTAGTGACTTGGGCAGTTAGAGAATTCAGTTTAGGAAAATCTACTGAGACAGTATTCAAATAGGTGACTGACCTTGGCTTCTCAGTTTGGCTAGCCATAGTTGAAGCAGAAGAGTGAAGGGGCTTTGAGGAAGCTACTGTGACTGGAACAGTGTGAAAGCAGCTGACCTCCGCTCCCACGCCTGGCTGTAAGAGGGGATAATAACTAGGTGCTGCCTTCCCAGCATCTTTCATCTGAGGAGTTCAAAGTACCTCACGCCTATTAATAACCTGCACAGTAGGTGGGGAGTACCAACAGAGCAAGCCAGGGAAACTGAGGCTAGGAAGCACAGCCCGGGGCTGGCTGTGAGTCACCTATGGGATCTGGGGCCCAAGAATCCTGACGCCCAGGCTGCTAGACAAATCCCTCACCAGGATGTGAGGGTAGGTGCTGAGTTTTTTTAAACAGTACCAATGGCTGTGGTCATGGGTTTTGATGCCTACCCATCACAGAAGCCTATGCTCTCACCAAAACAAAGCATGTGTGGGGGCTGGAGGGCATCAATTACAACTTTATAGCCTTATATCTCAACACTCTCAGCATTTTTTTCTCTTAAAAGTCATGGAATGAGATGGGTGGCCTTCCAAAACTACAGGCCTTGGTGTGAAGCAAGGGTATTTTCTTTCTAAATAAATGTAGTTTCTGATAGCAAAATTAGTGTCCCCTGTGCCTACATAGGTGGTGGGAAGGGGAAGGCACAATCAGGAAGGGAGAGGGTCTAGGTTCCAGTGAGGCTCGTTCAGCATGAAATGTGCAGCCAATAGACCATTCTTCAGTATGGCTGGCACATGGCAACCAATAGTAAGATTATTTTTTTCTTTCCTGATAAAAATAGAAAAGTAAACTTGGAAAATGAAAAGAGAAAGTAAGTCATTCACAATCCTTAATGACAGAATCAATACTTAATACTAAATTTTCTATTCAAATGTGTAATTACATTTTGTGTATTCTTATTTTTCTATTCATATGCACACATTTATATAAGGATATTTTATAAGTGCTTTTTATCGTAATTTTTTCAGTTATACTATTCCATGTGATTAAAAATATATAAAGACTTTTTTGGTGGTACTTGGGGGGTCAAACTCAGGGCCTCAATGTTTGCTAGTCAGATGCTCTACCACTTGAGCACCTTCACCAGCCCTTCAAACCTCTTTAATGTCTACATAATAAATATTTGGTAGTGTGACTATAACCTTGTTTACCTAACCAGATTCCCATGGTTAGGCTATAAGTCATTACCAAGATTTTGTTGTCACAAATAGGGCTGTGATTAACATCTTTGGACCCAAATCCTTGTTGAGTCTCTGATTTTTAGTTTATGATAAAGTCTTAGATTTTCTAGGTTCTAGATTCATATTACTGCAATGCTTTCCAAAAGTGCCACTTTATATCTTACTGACAATGCCATCCTTCCTGATCATCCCTGGTAACTGTGGGTATTAAGATCTGTGCATTTCCTGACTCTGACCTGATTGAATTGGAGACCCCAGCAATTGGAAGATAGTGGAACTGGAAGAGCTCATCAGGGACTATAGGTCATTGGAAAGGCTCCCAGCTTGACCAAGATGCTTAGGAGGGACGGTGAGGCTCTTAAGCCCACAGTACTGAAGCATGACCAGTCTGCCTGAATTAGCAAAATGCTCACCCACAGATGGCTGAGGATAGGAAGTCTAATTCCATTAGGGTCTACAGGAAGCAGAAAGGGAAAGTATACATTGTAGGGATTTTCTGTCCTTAAGAATCCAAAGGGGGAGGAAGTGCTTCAGACCCACCCTAACACAAGGCCTATGCTGGGCCTCCTCCTTCCCTTTTCTCTTACCAGTGGCTGTTGAGCCCCTACCCAGCCAACAAGGGCTGTCCATCCTTCTCCCTGTCCTGTTCAGAAGGGAGAACCCCAGAGTAGCACATATGTCTTTGGCATCAGGCTTGCCATAGATAGGGAAAGCCATATGTTACTGTGTTCCTGCATTTTCAGCCAGGGAGCTTACTCCTGACTGATCCAGAAGCCCAGGTAGCTTAAGACTGACAGCCTGTGAGGGGATGTTTTGGAGCCCAGCTGTGGTGAATGAGATGAGTGCTGATAAAAATGCTCTGGGTAAGAACACACAGCAAGGTTTTAACTTTTTCCTCATTCCAGAACCCTGAGGCAGATGCAAGCAGGGAGATGAGAGGTTCCTTCAAAACCATCCCAAATGGAGCCCAACTGTGGTGAATGAGATGACTCAAGTAGTACAGCACTTTCCCAGCAAATACAAGGCCCTGAGTTCAATCCCTAGTACCAAGAAAAAAAAATCACATGTGGCACATTGTGTATTCCTAGCTGCTCAGATTACTTGAGACAAGGAGTTCAAGACCAACCTGAGAAACATAGTGAGGACCCTTCCTCAAACAAAAATATCCCCACTATCAAATCTGAAGCAGTATGCTTGCTGTGTAAATTCAGCTTGAAGAGGCTAGGCACCGGTGGCTCACACCTATAATCCTAGCACTCAGGAGGCAGAGATCAGGAGGATCATGGTTGAAGATCAGCCCAGGTAAACAGTTCAAGAAATCCTATCTCAAAAATACCCAACACAAAACACAGCTGGCAGAGTGGCTCAAGTGGTAGGGCACCTGCCTAGCAAGTATGAGGACCTGAGTTCAAAATCTACTACCATAAAAAGAAACATTGCTTTGTGGAGTCGCAGAAACAGCAAAGGAAGGTTGGGGCATAAGTGAGATTTCTCATTTTTTAAGTAATATCAGAGGCACATATATCCATTTTTAGCTAAAAGTATGTCCCTTCTATAAGTTAGACAAGATTTCAGGTTAGCTTTAGTCTAGAAGAGAAAAGGAGGGTTGGTGGAGTGGCTCAAGTGTTAGAGCATCTACCCAGTATTGCCAAAAAAAAAAAGTAAGGAAAGGAGACAATGTGTCTTTCCTCCCTTCCAACAAATATCGAATACCACATTCAGATGTATTAAATGCTGTACCCACAGATTTAAAGACTCCATGTTTTTGAGGGTCTTGGGTTTCCTTCTTATCTCTAGACAAGGGTTAAATTTCCCTGCACTGTAGGGAGAAGAATGGGTGGAGATGAGAGATGAATCAGCCTGACACCCCCAGGGTGACATACCTGTCTGCTGCCCCCACAGACATTCCTGGCTCCTGACTCAATAGGTAGGTGGGACTAAGAGGCCTTTAAGGAGAGGGGGATCTACCCTGCAGAAACCTGCCTTCCCCACCCCACACAATGTAGAGATGGGGGATGGTGTGGGCCTGTATACTGGGTGAAAAGAATTCAAAGGAACAAAGAATGGAACCAGGTTAAGGAAATTTAAACTTGTTGAGTGAACCAGGAAATCAGTCCACTTCACAACCATTTAAGACAATTCTTTGCCCAGCCCTAGAGTGGAGTTAGATTAAGAAAAGGGCAAGAAAAAAAGGATTTCTTGATTAATAGTCTAAAACACGAGGAGGCAGCATAGCATAATGTTCTTTTAAAACTTATTTTTAACACATGAAACTCCAATATACAAAACAGACATACAGTCAACGTGTGTGGAAATGGGAAACTCTTGACCACCTGGGCTCCTGCCCACAGCAGCTACTGGGAAGCCCTCTGAATACAGTTTGAAAATAACTGGTGTAGTTTAAATAGATCATGGGCCTTGGAGTCAGACCCTATCCCACTCCCAGCAGTTGTATGACCTTAGTTATTAAGTTATTTAGCTGTTTTGACCCTCAGTTTCTTCATATGCAAAATAAACTTGAAAATATTGCTGTATAGAATAAGGTATGAAACTGGTTGGCCCATACTAGCATACCCAGCGCCTATTATTACTGTAATCTCTAGGAAGAAGCAGGAGAGGGGCACTGTTGGTCAGAAGAGCAATCTTGGTGTAAATATTTGCTATCAGGAGGTTTTGCTGAAAAGGCATGGGATATTCGGACCTTGGACACGTGTGTGTGTGTGTGTGTGTGTGTGTGTGTGTGTGTGTGTGTGTTGCTGCTAGGGAAGAGCATCTGCTGTGCTTTTCTGGAAGTAGCCACAAGTGGCCACCATGGTCTATCTGATCCTGGTGCCTCAGCCTCCCTAAGATGCTTGGTTTATTCTGAGAAGGCAGTCTTGTCATCTGTTACCTGCACCTTTGGGTCTACCGAGTCAATTTGGACTTTGCTTTCTGAAGTAACTATATTCTAAAGAATTTTAGCTTGCAAATTTTCCCTATACCACCCAAATTTCTAGGAGGGAAAGATCTGTGCAAAGCCCTGAGAATAATTTAGCAGTGTAGAAAGGTATAAGGATAGAGTCACTTGAATCTTTGTGAGCCCAGTCTCTGTCTAGACAGCCCTTCCTCCTCATCCCAGGACCAGTCCTATCTCCATTTCTGTAACAGAGGATCTGGCACTAACCTGGCATTTGGAGGGATTTGGGTTTTAAACTCAAATTCTGAGTACCTTCTGGTACAAACCTTCCAGGATTTACTGTGGGAAGAAAGGAAGACAAAATTGCCATTTTTAGGGATCTCAGGGAGAAGAGAAATAAACTCAGGACATAACTCTAAACCCAGAGGTAGAATCAGGTAGATGTGAAATTATAACTGAATAAATGTACTTATATAAATATAAAGTAAAACAAATAACACACAAGGCTCTATATTTGTGTTAAAGGAAGAGGAAGGGTGGCTAGTCAACCTTTGACCAGAACATAGCCTTGAAATTTGGAAAAGTTAAAAGAACATGACCTAAGTGGAAGGGATGAATTGTCACCATGAAATTTTTATTGGAACGTGGCATTATTACCTACTTTGCCTTCTGGGACAGATTTTTTTTGGAGGCCTTACTTGTCTAAATGTCTTCTTTTAAACAAAACAAAACAAGCTGTCACTATATAGCTCACACTGGCCTCAAACTCACAGTCCTCCTGCCTCAGCCTCCAGAGTGCTAGGATTACAGGCATGTACCACCATGCCCAGTTCTCAGAACAGATGTGTGTATGTGTATGTGTGTAGTCCTGTGCATGCTAGGTAAGTGTCCTCTCAGGGCTGCACACTTGCAGAGCAGGTGCTCTACGGCTTGAGCCACACCTCCAGGCCATTTTGCTCTGGTTATTTTGGAGATGGGGGTCTCACAAACTGTTTGTTTGGGCTGGTCTTGGACTATGATCCTCCTGATCTCAGTCTCCATAGTAGCTAGGATTACAGGCTTGAACCACTGGCGCCTGGCTCCTTTTTTCCTTATTTTGAGACAGGGTCTTGCTAAGTTGTCCAGGCTGATCTCAAACTCAATATCCTCCTGCCTCAGCCTCCAGAGTAGCTGGGATTACAGGTATGTACCACCATACCTACCTCAGGTTTTTCCTCCCAGTGCTGGGCATCAAATTCAGGGACTTACAAATGCTAGGCAAGTGCTCCGCCACTGAGTTATGCTCCCAGCCTGAGACAGATTTTTAAAATCGAGATATATTAACCATACCCTTAAATGTGCCCTTTTACAGTGTTCCATTCAGTTCATATTCACAAAGTTGTGCAACTATCTACACTATTTAAAATTAGAACATTTTGCCAGGCATACTAGTGCACACCTGTAATCCTAGCATTAGGAGGCTGAGGCAAGGAGGATCATTAATTCGAGGCCACCCTGTAATCCTAGCTACTCAGGAGGCAGAGATCAGGAGGATTACAGTTGGAAGCCAGCCCCTGGCAAGTAGTTTACAAGACCCTATCTTGAATACACCCATCACAAAAGGCTGGTGGAGTGGCTCAAGTGGTAAGAGCTGCCTAGCAAGCACAAGGCACCCAATGCCGCAAAAAAAAAAAAAAAAAAGGAAAAGAAAAGAACCTGGAAAATTTCATCACTCCAAAAGAAATTCTACCCATTAGCATTGCAACTAAAATTTTTAAGATGTCAAATCTAGACCAAGAAAAGGTGACAATAAATGCTTACTAAGAGATTATATAGATATAGATATACAGTTATATCTACTATATATCTGTATCTATCTAGATATGTGTATCTCAGACAAAAAGGTCTGGGACCATTGTGGTCAGAAGCTGATGACTTATCCACATCACATCTAGCCCTAAAACATCTGACTTGATCCTCAAACCACAGCATCTGCTTTTGAAACCTTTCAGCACTTTAGGGCAGCTCATGTCTTCCCATATACAGGACAGCCATGAATCGTCTGGAGTGAACAGGCCAAAGTCACTGAGACAAGAAAGAAGTTTCTTTCCCAGGGCCTACCCCACTAAGAGAAAGTCACTAGACCTGTTTGGTCAGAGAAACCAGGTCATTTCTAGAGCTGAGCCCAGTCTCTGTGGGTTTGGAGCCTTGAAACCCAACCCTCCAGTAGGAAAAGGGGAGAAAACAGGGGACCCAGAAGACATGAGTGGTCCTGCCCCCCTGTAAAATGAGGAGGTGTGACAAAGCCCCATGGATGTGGCCAAACTTCGGCTCTGGGGAACCTGATGAGGTCTCTCCAATCCTGCCAAGTGAAGGAGTGTCCCCTTGATGTCAGACCAGCCTTCATAGGTGACACTGTGAGCACCCCTGTCAGGAAAGCTGCTCCTCAGAGCTCGGCTTGAGCACAGAAATGCTGGAGAAATCCTAGATGTTGGAAGGATTAATTAATCAGCGGTCTTGGGGAGCTATTTTATGTTTTGGTTGGTGCTGTGGTCAAGCGCTGGATCGCTGATCGCTGAGCGACATCCCCGGCCCCTCGAATAGCTATCATTCGCTGAGCTTGCATGGCCCATGGCTACTTGACGCGCATCTGTGCATTTCTTGTGTCAAACTCCACTGCAGCTCTAGGACGAAGGTCCTTCTGGGTTGAACCCAGGGCCTCGCGCTGGCTAGGCAGGAGCCGTACCGCTTGAGCCCCGCCCCAGCCCAGGTACCCTTTTTTGGTCCCCCTCCTAACCCTTTGCAAACCGGGACCCGAAGGCAAGCAAGGTCAAGAGCCCTGGGCAAGGCATGCTGGGAGTCAAACCCAAGCAGTTTTCCTCCCGAGCCCCAAATGTTCACTCTCGTTAATTGCAGAGCCTTTGTTCATGCAATACAGAGGGGAAGCTGACCCACGGTTGCCTCCGACGAGCAGTTGGGGGCGTTTTGATGGCGTTTTCCCAGCCGACCCTGCCGCCAGCCTGGCCAGGCACCGCCGGGTGAGCGGATGACTCAAAGGGAGGGGACTGCATTTTGTGCACGGCCCCGCCCCGTCCCGCTGCTCTGAGGGAGCGGAACTCTCGAGCCGGGCGGGTGGCAACTTGTCGGAGTGAAACCGGGAAAGAGCCGCCCCTCCGCGCCTCAAAGGTGGCGGGGACGCAGCTCAGTCAGTCAGCGTCGTGGCGTCTGCCCAGCGGGGCGGGCAGCGAATACACTGGCTGCGCGCGCTCAGCCCCTCACTCTCTCATTGGCCTATCGGGCCCAGGGGGCGGTACTCTGAGGCAACTCCCTCATATGACTGGATAGTAGTGGCTCCGGGCCCCGCCTCCAGCACGCGGCTGTGAAGGCTGGGCCAAGTGCGGCTGCAGCGGTTCCTGGCGTGTTTCTGCCTGCCGAGAGCCGAGGCTTGTAGGTTAAGCTGACCTGACTCCCTGCGGCTCTTCCCACCCAGCTAGCTCTGGCTTCTCGCCAGCCGATGTCACTTTTCCCAACTCAGACCGCTGGAGGGCGATCCTCTCTTAGAGCTGGGCTTTTTATGGCGTCACCACGCCCCGGTTTCAGATCGTGAGCCCCTCGGGCTCAGGTCTGAGGATTTCATCTGACGGGACTACTCTCCGATGCCAAGTTTGAGGTGCTCAGTGCCACTCATGCAGCGTCTCCCCGCGGCGCGGTCCTCAGATATCGCACCTGAGAGGCACTGGTTTCCTGCCCGCCTCAGATCTGAGCTTTTCAGCTTCTCCATCCACGGCACCCACTCACCTCTGCTCAGCGTCGCCTCTGCGGTCACCAGACCCTCCCGGAACCAGAGCAGTTTGGGGTGCCCTGAGGGAGACCGCTGGCCTCTCACCTGGAGTCACTGGCCCCATACCTCATCTGCGGGTCACCAAGCCAGCACCAGGGGAGGTCAGGGCCCTAACTCAGAGGTTCAAAGTCAGGGTCTCTAAGACGTACTGCAGTCCCTCTACCAGCCCATGGCTAATAACTAGAGAAGACAGGAGTGTCACGGGGAAACTTTATTGAGAGGAAACATGTTCACAGCCCGCAGACATGCTTTCCCTCATTCTCGCTCTCACACAGTCACACACGCACCCATCTCCAACTTCTGCCACACAGCCTGGTTCTCAGCCACAGGGTGGGACACTCCTCAATTCCTAGGATCCAGAGGCAGCAGGGCCAGGAGGGAGGCACAGGGTGGGAAGAAGTGGTGGGGTCAGGGCTAGGGTGGGGAGGAAGGGGCTGCAGCGAGCAGAGTCGGGCAGGATGACCAGCAGTTAGGAACATCCAACTGCTGTATGGATGGGACGGTGGGATCCTGGCCTGGTAAGCCTCAGCTGGTCGCTCTGCCTCCCAGGAGCCGTTGTGAGCTGTGGCAACGCTTTTAGGGAAGGGTCTTGGGCAGGGCCAGGTCCCATCCCATACTAGTCCTCTCTACAGGCTGGGGACTGGAGGGCAGGGTGGGGCAGGAGGGTGGCAGGCCGGCTCAGCTCTGGGGCTCCTCGGGAGCCTCACCGCCCTCTTCCCCGGCATTGTCGGCTGTCCACAGCGTCAGGTTGTCTCGAAGCAGCTGCATGATGAGAGTGCTGTCCTTGTAGGAGTCCTCGCTGAGGGTGTGCAGGTCAGCCATGGCCTCGTCGAAAGTGGTCTTGGCCAGGGCGATGGCCTCCTCAGGACTGTTGGCAATCTCATAGTGGAAGACGGAAAAGTTCAGAGCCAGGCCCAGGCGAATGGGGTTGGTGGGCGGCATCTCCTTCTTGCTGATGTCCATGGCCTCCTGGTAGGCTGATCGGGCAGAGTCGATGATGCGTTTCTTGTCGTCGCCAGTGGCTACCTCTGCCAGGTAGCGGTAGTAGTCACCCTTCATCTTCAGGTAGAAGACCCGGCTCTCGGCCTCCCCGGCCTCCCTGATGAGGTGGGAGTCCAGCAGGCCCAGCACCGTGTCGCACACACCCCGCAGCTCAGTCTCCACCTTCTCCCGGTACTCTCGCACCTCGGGGCCCTTCTCTTCCGAGCCCTCCTCATTGCTCTTCTGCTCGATGCTGGACAGGACTCTCCAGGCAGCCCTCTGGCCACCCACCACGTTCTTGTAGGCCACCGAGAGCAGGTTTCGCTCCTCACAGGACAGCTCCTCGCCCTTTTCCACAGCGCCCTTCATGAAGGCTGCCATGTCCTCATAGCGTTCGGCCTGCTCTGCCAACTTGGCCTTCTGGATCAGACTGGCTCGCTCCATGGCTCTGGGGACAGATGGGCGGCGGACTAGCTGGCTGCCTGGACCGATGCAGGATTCTGTGCCTCTCCTGCTCTGGGTCTGCCTTTTGGCTGGGTGGCATGGCCCTGAGAAGGGTGGGGAGGGGCAAAGGCGGGACTGAGGCCCAGGACCTGCCTCCTTCTCTTCCCACACCCTTTCCGGCTCTTCCTTAAAGGTAAAAGGGTTGGGATGTGGGGGTGAGTCATCAAGACACTCAGCAGGAGAAATCTGGGCGTGGGCCCCACCTGTACAGGCGCCTTTCCCACTCCAGGCTGCCCCCTGCTGTTCAGGGCTGCATTGCAGGAGTGCCCATGTTAGGAATCTGCCCCAGATTCTCAAATGAGATCCTTTTTCAGTGTCCTTCCAGGAGTAAGGATGGCTTCAGCCATCTGGCTGTCAAGCCTAGACAGAGCCCAGCAAGCTGGGTGCAGGAAGATGGGGTTTCTAATCCTGCCTCATATGTTTCCTTTCTTGGTTCAGGGGAGATGATAATTTGTGGTAAGTTTAGGGCTGTCCCCGTTTCTCAAGCACTCTGACATCCATGCTCTGATGTAACCCCCATCAGGACTAAAGAAATGGGACTACCAAAGAGGTTGAGATTTGCTCCTGGTCACACATCTACCAGCTCCCTAACTCTTCCTTCTACACCCTATTTCCTTGGGATTTTATTCCCCCGTTGAGGCCTCTGACCTGTGAGCTCTAGGCTGTATCTGGAAGTGAGATCCAGGCTTCTTCCTGAGTCTACCTGAAGATAGTTTCATCCCTGGTCCTCACTCTCCCTCAAGGTCCCCCTCTGAGCTCCCAGAATGCACAGGTGGCAGCTTTCAAGGTGCCGCTTAATGAAGTGTTTAACAAGCGGCCTTTGACGCTCCAGCCCAGCCTTTGCAATTAGTCACCCATAGGTTTTTTGGACACCTTCCCCATCACAGTACAATTTTCCCTTTCAAGTTGGTGGCCTGTTGCCACTTGTCTGAGGACTTACCCCCCTGGCTCTCCACGCCAGGTCACCTGCCCCCTCCAAACTGCCTGCCACCATATATCAGCAGGGTTCACAGAGGGTGGGGGCCTAGCTCCTTGGCTGCCCCATTTTCCTGCCTGACTCAGAGCCCTCTGTCAGAGACTGGGAAACAAGTCATCTGGGTTCCCAGTCCAGTTTGGTCCCCCAGGGGGGACGCTAGCAACCTGGGGAAAGAGAGACAGCTGAGGAGAAGGAGCTGGCAATGATACACCATTTTATTTTATGGGATAACAATTCAAGCTGAATGATGTCTCCCCTAGTCTGTCTCCCAGGGGTTTGCCTGTCCCTTCTCTTTGACCATGGCCCCACCTCTGACCCCTGACAGAGATGGAGACCATTTTGTTGCCAACTTTCTATCCCTGCTTGCTGGGGCTCCAGTCTTCAAGTTTCACCATGAGTATTACCTAAGCGTGTTGGCACCAAGTCTACGAGGATGGGTTCCTGCTTACCGGCCCCACCCCTAGCCAAAGCTCAGATGGGGCTCAGGGGCCCCCTCTCTGGGATCTAGCCAGTCTAATCTTTGAGCCAGGACCATGTCACGGGCCTGTGTCTCTTCCGTTCCTCTGAATGTCTAAGCACTCACCTTGCTTTCCTAGAGAGAAGCATAGGCCAGAACTCTGAGACTAAAGTTTCCACAAGGAAAAGTGGGGGAGCTGGGGATATAGCTCAGCGGTAGAGCACTTACCTAGCATGTATAAGATCCTGGGTTCAATCCCAAGCACTACCAAAAAAAAAAAAAAGGGACATGTCTGGGCTAATCCTATAGGGTTCCTAGGAAGCAGAGGGAGTTTAGGCCTGATGTCCTAATGGCTTTGTTCAAATTGGAGCATGGACACAAAAAAGAATGGAAAGGAACTATACTAAAATACCAACTTACTTAGGGTATCTTTAGGTAGTGAGACTCCAAGACTTTTTTTTTTTTAATTTTTGGTATTACTAGGGTTTGAACTCGGGGCCTTGCACTTCTTAGGCAGGCATTCTGCCACTTAAGCCATGCCCCCAGCTCTCTCTTGCTTTAGTTTATTTATTTATTTACTTATTTATTTTTGTGGTACCACAGCTTGAACTCAGGGCCTACAGCTTCAGCCACTCCACCAGCCCTTTTTTGTGAGGGGTTTTTTTGAGATAGGATCTTGTGAACTACTTCCCTGGACTGGCTTTGAACTGCTGTCCTCCTGATCTCTGCCTCCTGAGTAGTTGGGATTAACAGGTGTGAGCCACCATACCTGACAGATTTCTTTCCTTTTGATTGATTTTTTTTCTGCAATTTTTTTTTTTGTGGTTTGAACTCAGGGCCTCACACTTGGTAGGCAGGGCATTTTACCACTTTGAGCCACTCCGTCAGCCCTGTTCTCTCCAAATTATTAATAGCAAATATGTGTTATTTTTCTATGAGAGATAGAAAAGCCTAGTGTCTTTGGAATCAGATTGCCAGAGTTCAATTCTTACAAGCTGTTGTGGCCTTGACTAAGTGACAAGCTTTCTGAGCTTCAGTTCCTATAGATGTAAAATGGTTTTTGTGAGGATTAAACCAATTAATAGAAAGCACTGACTATAGAGAATGGTAACTATTACTATATAAAAACAAACAAACAAAAATCCAACTAATTTTTTTTTTTTTTTTTTTTTTTTGGTACTGGGGCTTAAACTCAGGGCCTACTGCTTGAACCATTCCACCAGCCCTTATTTTGTGTGTGTGTTGGTTTTTTTCTAGATAGGGTCTCACAAACTATTTGCCTTGAGCTGGGTTGGAACCACAATCCTCCTGATCTCTGCCTCCTGAGTCGCTAGGATTACAGGTGTAAGCTACTGGCGCCCAGCCCAATAAATTTTATACACATAAAACTCTAACATAGAACTGGGTTCTATAAAAAAGAGCCCCAAACTGGCCTTAGCTGAAGCCCAGCTGGGTATCCACAGGGGAGAAGGGGACAGTTTGCTCACAGCTTTCCCTTTCCAGACGGATGAATGGTTAGGTGGACCAGGTGTGCTCCCCATCAATCTAGGACATTCCTCTGACCTCTGTCTGCCCCGAGCCCTCAAGGATCTTCCTTTGCACTAGTCATGCAGCCTGGGTTTCCCCAAGTCCTGGGGTGGGACAACCTGGACACTGGAAACCTGGAAGGCAGGGCCTGGCAGGCCTGGGAAATTTATAGCTTCTAAATCCCAGAAAGGAGCATTTTTCTCCTGCCACTTAAGCCGGGGCCTGAAGGGGGATTCACAGCAAGGATCCAGGCCCTCAGCACACACCACTCCTCCTCCTCCTCTGCTGAATGAAGCCAGGCTGCCTGGTACCTCCTGCTCGCTCTGGCCTGTAGATCCTGACTCAGTTCCTGTCTTAGTTGCCTCCCTTTGCCTTCAGGCCTCCACTTCCCAAGTCCAGGAGCTTAGGCAGGCAGGCAGGAGGCAGCAGGCCCTGGCAGGGCACAGAACTCCACATCAACAGCCTGAGTCAGCAGGACAGGAGCTGGGGCTGCAGGCAAAGGGGCTTTCCTTATCCTGCCTGCCACCTTCCCACTCTCTGCAGTATCTACATTAACAGCAGGTTCAAGGTGCCAAGGCCCATATTCACATCCTCCCTTAGCTGGTGGTAACAGACTTTGAAGGGTTGTAATGCAAAGAAAGCAGCAACCTGTTGCTATCTCCGTCCACTAATAGTAGACAGGACTGATTGCAGCAGGAGGGACTCCAGTTAGAGTCCAAAAAGAACTTTCTAGGAATTTTCTGTCTTTGCAAAGATTGACAGGTGACCAGAGGAGACTCTAGCATCTTCTCCTGGTTAGTTGTGAATAAGAGTCCAGTTATGTAGCTGACAGCTCTACTAGCTGCCTTTGGGAAGGGAAACTAGATTACTTTTAAGTGATTCAGCTGTTCTGAGTCCTTCTCCTCAAGGCACTGCTATTCAGAGTATCCCATTCTCCTAAACCAGTCCAGTCTAGGAGACTGTATGGAATTTATGGAAAGAGAATGGAATGAGGCCAGGGTGTAGGACCACATTCCAGCTCTGTTATAAGGTCTTGGGCAGGTCCCTTTCTGCCCCTAGGCTTCAGCTTCCCCATCAGTCCCCAGAGTTTGGCCCAAGTCCTCTCTAAGCCCTCTATCAGGTAGGACATTCTGTAAGTTTAGAGCTTCTCTAAGACCCCATCTTCCCAAGTTCTACTCAATCCTGGAGTAGTGCAGAAGGGCCAGAAGTTGGGGCAGAGAGTGGGTTCCAGTCCTGAACTTGCTGCCCTACCAGCTGGGCCACCTTGGCCTGAACCTTCCTGGAGCTTCAGTTCCTTCATATATAAAAAAGCTGACATCACCTTCCTCTTGGGTTGAGGTGAGAAAATGGCCTAGCACTTGGCAATGGCAGTGGTAATTAGTTTTTAGCTCTTAGTACAGGACAGTGAGGCTGCAGCTGGTAGAGGGAAGGTTCCATGAGACTTACCCTGGGCTGGAGTTAAACCCTCTGTCTCAGTCAAGACTGGGCCTTTCAGAGGTCAGAGGTCAGCTAATGCTTGAAGATCTCTGGAATTGAGACAAGGCATTCTGGAGGGACAGAGCAAAGAGGCAAAGCTGACCTGTCCCATGTCCTTCCTGGTTTTCTTGTCTCCACAATAGCACTGATTAGATGGAGTGAAGCTGGGAGGGAGGTAAGCAGGTGTTTTTCTGCACACACATTGTAGGCCCCACCCACCCACAGACCCCAAAGGAAAAGTGGCACTAGACAGCCAAAGGTATGGCAAGAAGAGGGCAATCTTTATTTTCATTATAAAAGGTATAGGACAGCAGACAAGCAGCCCCCCCGGCCTGGGCTCAGCTCATGTTCCAGGCCTGGCCCAGTTTTCTTTAGGTCCTTGGAGGAACATGGGGCTAGACTCCCTCCTTGCATCCTACCTACTGGCTGGGGGGGGGGGTGGAGGGTGGGAACAGCATCAAGCCAGTTGTGCTTAGAACAGTCACCAAACTCGTTCAGCAGCGTCACTGACACCCTAGACTGCTCCTGAAGAAACCTGCTCAGCTTGACTATGGCTCTGCCTGATTTGGGGCAGTGGCGGGGTGGGGGGGTGGGGGGTAGGGGGGAAGGGAGAGGGCTGTAAGGCAAGATTCCTGAAGAGTCTTGACACCTTACAAATCTGGGAAGAGGAGGGAGTTTCAGCATAGTATTACAGCGTTGTGCTGATGGCTGCTATGGCTTTCTACACTCTGGCCAACATGGAGTAGGGGTGGGGGCAAAGAGGCCAGCCCCTGCCCCTATAGGAGCCCTAGAGAGCACACGTGTAGGGCAGATTTAAAGGGTAGACCCTGTAGGCACAGATGGTGGCAGGCGGGCCACAGGTTAGGCAGGTAGAGGTGCTGGGTGCTTGGCTCCTCCCAGGCCACTCCTGGAGAAGCAGAGAGCAGCAGTCCTCAGGAGGTCCTTAAGCCCCCGCACACACTGGAGATCCCCGGCAGGACAGCAAAGAAGGAGAAGAGAGAGGGTTAGCAGGATAGGAGGAGAGAGATGGCCTGCAGGGGCCCTGTGAAGGAGTCAGGGGCTGCCATAGCACCTGCCTCTCCCTTAGAGAAGGGCCAGGGCTTGGGCAGCAGGCAACAAAGCAGGAGAGAAAACAGGCAGGTGAGAGAAAGCTCAGCAGGGTCAGAAAGGCAAGACGCAGGAGTGTTAGTGACTGAGGGCCCTGGACACCAGGACACCACCAGAGTAGGCTCAGGCCTTCAGGGAAGGTCTCCCCTCCTCCCCAACCTCTCCCTTCACCTCTTCCAGTGGGACAACTGCTCTGTGAGAAGTTACTTACTTCCTCAGTCCAGCCTGGAGCAGGACTAAGATTCTTCTGTTTGGGGTTGGGGGTGGGGAGCGCCCTGGGACCTGCCACCGCCAGCACACACACCACACCACACACCAGACAGATGGATGGGCTCCATGGGGTTGGCAAGGCATGCGATGACGATGACGATGAGATGGTGTGTGAGGGGAGCGGGCAGTGCTGGCCAACAGGCGAGATCCGGTCTTACCAGCTAACCCTCTGCAAAGAGGCCAGTTAGCTCCCCTCAGGCTGTGCAGGAGATGGCAAAGTCCTGACAGGCGTCCTCCTGGGGAGATACCAGAGGGTGAGCTAGTGTTATGAGCTGTCTGGCCTGGCTGGCTGCCCAGGAGGCTCTGGCTCTCAAACTGCAATCTACTGTCTCAAAAATTCTCTTAACTGAGGAGTCACTGGGGACCAGAGTAGAATGTTAGCAAGGAAGAACTCAGGGTGCTTCAGGCCCCCAAGGCAGAGGAAGATGGAGGGAATGAAGAGAGGACAGGATGGCGCAGCCATGGCACCCTCTACTCTGCCTCTGGCAGACAGAGCAAGGGGAACTTTGTCCAGATCACTGGACTGCCTGCCCTCTTTCTGTCTCCCTAGGAAAGGGACATATTCTGAAAGAACCCAGGTCTGCCAGATGGGGCCTTGACAAAGAAAAAGCAAACAAAAACCAAACCAAACCAAATCAACTCTTAAAAACAAAAGTTTTATTATAAGCAGAACAAAGAATACTGGCTTAAATAAAGGCAGGTGGGAGCCCCCTTCTCTAGCTAGCTTCCTTTCCATCTCCCAGGGCCACTACAAGAGGGTCCAGGGCCCTGAGGCTGGGGGGAAGCTGCTTCTCCAAAGGGAATCCTCTGTGGCCACCACTTCCCAGTTCTGTCTGTGACCCACTGGCCTCTGGAGCAAAGAAGGGCAAGATCTGACTTCCTATGTCACTTTTCAAGGGTTCCAGCCCACTCAAGGGAGCAAGGAGGGTACTCAAAGAACCAAGGAGAGGAATAAAGGGGCAATTTTCTACCTATTCCAATAAACTATAGCTGCCAGAAGAGGAACGACATCCTCTGAGCTTCTGGCCCAGAGTTAGGCCAACCTTCTCTTGCCTCTTGGCATACCCTGCATCTCCTTCCTTTGCTCTGGATAGAAGCTACCAGTTGGCAGAAACATCTTGTCTTCTAGTCCTTGGCACTGGGTCCCATACTCAGAGCTCCAAGGAAGGGGTGTAGGATCGTAGCCGCTCCCTAAAGCCGTCACCCCACCCACCATGCCTAGCTTCAGCCTGTCTGGGCAGGTCCCAACTGGAAGCTTAACCTAGGGGCTGGGTGGCAGGGGGATGTAGAAAGCCACTGGTTGTCTGAGTCCATGGAGGAAGGAAAGATAAGAGGATGAGGGCTGAGCCCCAACAGGAGCTTAGGGGTTTCTGTGACCAATGCCCATGTTCCCTGTCCCCATAGCTCAAGCTCCTTCTGAATCCAAGGGGGATGAGGGAAAGGGAACAGCCTAAGGGATGTGGGAGCCAGTCACATTTGTACAAGGGCACGCGTGAACACATGCACGTGTGCACGCATACACACACACATACATGCACACGCACAGTCAGAAGGTCTCCTAATAAACTTATTAAAACCAACTAGCCTTTTGATAACCCTTCACCTGGCACTACACAGATTGCAATGTGGCTGACTTCTTCCCTTTAAAAAAAAGGCTATGTAGAAAAGAGGTCTATAAAATTGTGCAAAATACCCAGCAATAACAAACCCGTTTCAAGTATTGCCAGCATGAGCATAACCTGCTAATCCCCAGCCCTGACTTGGAGATGGTAAGGTGGAAAGGCTGGGATCCCTTAGAAAGCCTCTATGGGAAGAGGAGGGCAAGGTCTCCCTTCCTACTGTGCTGCTGAGGACTCTACAGGACCTAAGGGTGCCTGGCTGACTGGTTTCACTTCCTCTGGCCCTTGTACCATCTCAACTGGAACCCCAGTTCTATCCTATTGACCAAAAAACCCCCCTCCTTATCACCAAAAAGTCCAATAGAAGAACAATGATCACAAAGAGAATGCAAGAGCCTCCAAACCAAAAGAGACACTGAGGCTTCCTCTCCTATAGCCTGTGATCCAGAGCCAACTGCTCAGCAGTCCTGTTTCCCAAGGTCTATGGCTCAGCACAGTCCAGGCAGCGGCCCAGCTGGAAGGCCTCATGCCCAATTCACACTCTCACTCACATAGGGCTCGCCTGGGCACAGGCAGAGACTTGGCATGGTCCCCTTGGTGGCCTCCAGAGGCTCTGGCTCTCCTGTCACTCCTGCCACTGATTAGCTGAAGGGTAGGGCCCAAGGCTGTGGGAACTTGGGTTTGGGGAGCAAGGGGTACAGCCATGGGACAGTTCAGGGAAAGCCACGCAGGGTGGGAAATAAATACGAAAAGACTTGAGTCTTTGGCAGCTCTGCATCCCTCGGATGGCTTGGGAAGGGTCCTGGCAGGTGTGGAGGGCGGCAGGTGAGTACGGAAGGGTGGACAGGCCAGCAGGTGGCAAGTACTGAGTAGCATTCAGGGATGGCCTCCTACCATGCGGGCATCCGGCTTGGCTCCACAGTCTGGCTCGTCACTTCTGATGGGCGAGGGCAACACTGTGTCGGATTGTACAAATCCCCTCCGGTCAATTAGGCTTCCGAAACATAAGAAGGGGATACATGAGGGCCATGCCCAACACAAAGCCCCAGACCAGAGGCTGGATGGCAAAGTCCATCTCCTGGCCAGGGGAAGTCCCAGCATAGAAAGGCTGAGGAAAGGAAAGCTCAAGACACTTGCTTCTGGAAGGCCTCTCTCTGACTTCTGGGCTCCTGGTTTTTGGCCACATAATTGCTTCACTGTAATTCAAAATAACCCACCTGTCTGGCTTCCAAGAAGCCAGGCCACAGGTGAAGGGAAAAGCAAGGAATATGAGTAGGTATTTGGAGACAGTTAGATTCCGTCTGTCCCTTCTCCCCTGCAGGACACAATTGTTGGGGCAATCTTATCTTGGCAGTGTCCCCGCAACTCTTGCTCTGGAGCTCTGGTGCCCCCTGGTGTCAGGATGGACAGGGAGCTTCTCCAGCAAGACAGAACCACCAAGGTTCCCTTCTGCAGGAGAGGGTGGACAACCCTACCCAGTGCTATGATCAGCAGCCAGAAGGCAGCGTTGCTCAAGTGTGGCCACAACCAGCACTGTGGTTATCCCTGAAGAACAGGACTACACACAATATCTAACTCTTCGTCTTTCTTTCTTTCTTTTTTTTTTAAGTGGTACTGGGTTTTGAACTCAGGGCTTTGTGCTTGCTATATATCTAATACTCTAATATTGTGTACTTTTTTTTCTATAACAAGCACATGTGACTAAAAATGACAACTTTCCACAGAATTTCTTTGCATGACAAATGCCCTGAGTACATCCAGTAGGGAACAGTGGACAGAGGGTGCCTGTGGTGTGGGAAGAGGCCTTCTGAGATCCAAAACCCCCTTGAAGGATATGGGTTCACACTGACCATCCTCTCTTAACCCCTCACCCCAGGCTTACCTGGGAGGTAGAGGGCCGCAGAGCACAGCACAGCAGTTGGTGATAATACTTTTATGGCTGTAGGGGTTTACAGAGGCCTCACCACCTCTCTTGCTAGACCAAGAGCCTTTGATCTGCAAACAGGAAGGAGGCCTGAGTCAGTTATCTTTTTTTTTTTCTTTTGTCTTTTTGAACGTGGTACAGGAAATCAAACCCAGGGCTTTATGCATGCTAAACACATGCTTTACCACTGAGCAACACCCTGCCCCCCTGCCTTTTTCTGTACTGCTGGGATGGATCCCAGGGCCTCCTGCACTCACTCTACCACTGAGCTATATTCTCAATCCCAGCTGCCTCCTGCTTCACTCCTCTAGAATGTGATCTAGAGGCTGGAAAAAGCTGGCCAGTTAGACCTTTGGAGGGGATGTGTCTTAACACAGGGCCTTCAATGAAGATGTGGGGACTGATGGATGTAGAGGGGTCGCCAGCAGAGATTAGGAAGGCCCCAACCAAGACAGAAGACAGAACAAAAGAGAAGTCTCCAGAGGAAAGTCTGTGGGTGAGCCATCTCTTCTATGATTGGCTAGATAAGAGGCAGAGTAGATTGAGGACATAGGACTCAGGCTGAGCTGGCCTTGGCACTCAGCTATGTAACCTTGTATAGATCATATCTTCGAACTGATCCTCATTTGAAAAGCAGGGACAATAGTGATTCTCGGATGGTACTGTTGGAGGGGAATCAGGTGAAATCTGGTCCATTTCTAGTTCTGTGGAGTCAGCTGTTCAAGGTACTGTGAGGCTTAGCAGTAAAGACCCACTTGACTGTAACCCAGAGGTTTCTACATTTACTGAGCCATAACACCCCTCTTTGTTTAAACTCTGGTAATTATCCTCCACAATCAGCATCCAGGAAACCACTCTGGGAGATGATGGGTGATATAATTTCTGCTCTGGATTCCAATCACCACCACACAATACCTTGTCATGTGTGTTGAGTTTTGTTTCCCAGAATGAGAGGCTGAGGTCATGGAATGTATTTTCTGTTGGATGATGGCTCTCTGATTAATATCAGACAGTGGATGCAGGGATGTATACTCCTGTTTGTTTGTTACTGTTTAGAAGATGGGAAGGAGAAGTCAGGTCTGGCCCAGGACTGGGCATGGTTGGTGCTCATGCAATGCTGATTGGTGGTGGTCTGCAAGGGAGTAGCTATGGAGGGTCAACAGAGCTCCCCTGTCCTGTTCTGGCTGTGCTTCTCAATATGGATACACTGGGAGGCCAAGTCACAGCTTTGCTGCCAATAGGTATGGCGTAGTAGAGCAGAGAGAGTATGGCCATGACTACTGGGCACCAACCCTGGTTCTTCCCCTTCTCAGCTCTGTTACTATGGGCCATGCCTCTTAGGCATCTAATGGAGAATAAGTATTCCTGTTCTTCTGCCTCAGGATTGGTGAAAGGCCCCAGAGATGATGGGAACAGAAAGAACTCTCTAAGCAGTATTGCACTGGCTAGACCTGAGGGTTATGGCGAAAGTACTGCCTCTGTGGGGTCTTCAGGAGCCTACAGAGAGCAGTGTGGACTAAGTGGTCTGGCTGCCCTGAACCTCCACCCAGATTTCCTCAGCAGTCTGCCAGTCAGGAGCACACCTGGCCAACCCAGGCTCCCTCAGCCCTGCTTCAGCTTTACTCACATCTTCATTAGTTGTCAGGTTAGAGGCGACGAGGTAAGTGTGAAACCCTGAGAGGCCCAGGATGGACCAGATGGAGAAGAAGCAGATCACCAACTCCAGCACGGTGGGGCAGTCAAGGACACACATGAGGGTGAAGAGTGGGCAGGCCCCTGGGCCTGGAAGCTCACCATGCTGTCTTTCTCACCCATCCTTCCCTTGAGCCATTTCCAGAGAGATGTGGCCCAGTCAACACTCCTGTGGGCCCCCAGAAGAAGGTGGGAGCCCCCCTCAGGAGCAAGATACAATCAGTGTGATAGATGGCAGAAGGAAATGAGGACTTCAAACACAGAGCCTCAGGCATAAAATGGTCCAGGGAGCCTGATGTCTTAAGAGATGTGTTTTCATCCAGGCCCTGAAGACAGGGACAGTGCCTTCTGAGAGTTCTTGGCCATCCCTGCCCTGCGCCGTGATGCCCCACTTAGGACTGGCTCTAGCCTGAGCATGAACAGAAGCAGCTGGTGTTCTGGATTTTAAAGGACAGACATGGGTTCACCATTCCCCTTTGGAGGACCCGCCCCTGTGAAGAAGCATCAGTTCCCACCACGGGTGTCTACCAGTCAGCAAAGGATATCTCGCTGGTGTCTCCTTCAGAGTGGAGAGGAAGTTGCTTCCCTGAGAACCTGGGAAGGAAGAAATAGGAGAGGACACAACTCCTTGACTTGGCTGAGCTTGCTAGCCAGCCCCTCCTCTGCCCCCTGCCTTCTTCCAACTCACGCAGTGTCAGGTGGGTGACCACACAGGCAAAGATGAAGGCCGTCAGGAATGAGAGGGAGAGAATAAACGCATAGAAGAAGCGGTAGTTGCGTTTCCCCACACAGTTGCCCACCCAGGGGCAGTGATGGTCAAACCGCTCTGGAAAGGGAAAGTAGGGGCAGGTTAGCATAAGCTTGATCTGCAGCCAGTACAAGTGGCTAGAGGCCTCCCCCAAGGCTGAGGCTCTCTCTCCCACTCCCCCTTTCTATACCAGCTGATACCCATTCCTTAGACACGCCTTGCTTCTGGTCCACTGCACACCAGTTTCCATCCCGCTGCCTGACATGTTCTTTATGTCTCTTCTCTGGTTGAACAGTATCTCTTCCTTCACATCTCAACTGTAAAGCCACTTCCTTAAAAAGTCTCCTCAGACTAGGCGTTGCTTCTCTTTTGTAGCGCTCTTCATGTATGGTTACATATTTATGATTATTGGATTGGCCAGGGGCCCTGATTGATTGTAAGCTCCATGAGAGCTTCATACTTTGCTGAATCCCCAGGGTCCAACATACTGCCTGGTACAAAGATCCACAAGCAATACTTGTTGCCTGACAGACTACCCCAGCCACATGCCAACAACCAATGATCCCTTCCCTTGCTCTAGGACTAAGGCCCGGGAGGGGTTGGGCCACTATGTAACTTGTATTAGAAGCCAAGGCAGAGGGCTGAGCTCACACCAGCACTATGTCCCTGGGGGTGGGGTCACACCCAACGGGCTTATGGCCTTGTTGCAGGCCTCATGCCAAGGCTAGTGCCCTTGCAGGAGGCAGGTGGAGCAAACTCTCAGGAATGAATGACACCCACTGAGTCACCCACCTTGCTGCCTGCTGTCATGGGTGTTCCTTGCTGCTCTCCTGCTCGGGGTTTGCTGAGCTGGCATGATGAGGTCACTACCCTGGGAACTGTGCACCGTCACCATGGCTCAGCTCACATAGTGCCTCCCTCATGACACCCTCCCAGGGGACCACCCTGGGTCCCCAACAGAGCTGTGTGGCCTCTGGGGACCAGGGCAAGGGGACAAAACAAGCACTGAGGTATGAATCAGAAGCCAACTCTACCTCACAGATTCCTGTTCCTCCCTAACCCTGGGAATCAGATCAAAGTCTGTAGAACTGCAGGCACTGGGCCACTGGGTGGCAAACCATTCTCTTTCAGGCCTCTGTAATTTTCTTACTCCAATCTCTCTGGGGAACATGGACCTACTGAGGACCAGACTGAACCCAGGAGAAGGGTTTGAGGCCTCTCTGTGTCTCTCTGACCCGCATTTCAGAGCTGGGAAGAAGGGATGTACAAATTCTGGGCTAAAGCCAAGGTGCCACTGGTCCCATTCTGAGCCTCTCCTCAGGGCGAATCTGGGTGACCCAGACTTCCTGCCGAGGCCTGGATATTTCAGACACTGCCCACCTTGCATGCATGACTGCCTGTCTCCAAGACTCAGTCATTCATGGACCCCACGGCCTCCCACTTACCCACACAGTTGTCACAGACACTGCAGTGTGAGGTCCGAGGTGGCCGAAACATCTTGCAGGTAAAGCAGTACTTCAGCTTCACCATCTGCCCATTGATCATCACCTCTCGTGTCCGAGGGGGTGGGCGGTATGTGGAACTACCTGTGTTGTCTGAGGGCAGAAAGAGAGAAAGGTCGGGGGTGCCCAAAGCAGACCAGGACCATGACCTGGTTAGGAAGAAGCTACTGCTGCCTGACTGGGACAGAAGCTTCAGGGAAACTGGTTCCCAGTAACAAAGGGATAAATATTAAGAGCTGCTACCAGGTACTGAGGCTGCCTACATACCCAGCTATGCTAAAACTTTCCACAGCTGCTGGAACACCTGCTGACCTTATTCAACTCTGTGAAGGGCCATCAGAGATGGAATCCTGAGGAAGTCCATTTAGGCATCTAACCAAGTCTAGATGTAGCTAAAATTCAGGAGAGAGGGAAGGGCTGTGGGCATGGCTCAAGTGGGACAGCAAGGCCCTGAATTCAAATCTCAGCACTGCTAAAACAAACAAACAAACAAAAAGTTTCTGGAAAAAGAGAAGGAAGAAGAATGCAAGTTTGAGGCCAGCCTGGGCGATGTTCCAGCTAGTACAGGCTACAATAGCAAGACCTTGTTTCAAAAAACTGGGGTTTGAACTCAGGGCCTTGCACTCACTAGGCAAGTGCTCTAGCCATGCCTCCAGTCCTAATAAATAAATTAAATTAAATTAAAATATAAAAGAGGAAATTGTTCTAAATTATGCCAATGCTGGGCATGGTGGCAGACACTGCAATCCTAGCACTTGGAGGTAGAGGCAGGAGGATTGTGACCTGGAGGCTAGCTGAGACTACACAGAGAGTTCAAGGCCAGCCTGAGCTAATATAGAGAACCTGTCTCAAAAAACAAAACAAAAGAAAAGAAATAGTTTAATAAGTTTATAGGGTCAAGTATGGTGGCACATACCTATAATCTTGGAAGGCTGAGGCGGGAGGAGCTCAATAGCCTGTTTTAAAAAGAAGCAGGCATTCTACCATTTACATCAATCCACTAGCCGTGTGTGTGTGTGTGTGTGTGTGTGTGTGTGTGTGTGTGTGTGTGTGTGTGTGTGTGTGTGTGTGTGTGTGTGTGTGTGTGTTTGCAGTGCAGGGTTTGAACTCAGGGCCTACACCTTCAGCCACTCCAACAGCCCTTTTTTTGTGATGGGTTTTTCTGATGTAGGGTCTCGAGAACTATTTGACCAGGCTGCCTCAAACCTCGATCCTCCAGATCTCTGATTTCTCAGTGAGTAGCTAGGATTACAGGCGTGAACCACCGGTGCCCAGAAAGACATACTATTGGCAAGTATTGACTCTAGATAGTGAACATATAGGAGCTAGTTGTACTAATTCTTCTGCTTTTCTGTATGTTTGAAAATTTTCATTAAAAAAATTTAAGAGAAAAAGAAATGAAGAGCTATATCATGCCCATGGACTAGGAGATTCAGTATCATGAAATAATTTATCGTCCCTAAATTAATCATCGGTAGATTCAATATAAGAAAAGTCAAAAATCTCAGGGAGTACTTTTGTGGGAATTGACAAAATTTGTAAAATTCACATGGCACTGCAAAGGGCCAAGGAGAGCCAGGGCGCTGCTGAAGAACTAAGCTGGAGCACCCATCTTGCCAGATATTGATGATATGACATGAAGAAGCTACAGAACTTAAGACAAAGGGTGCACAGGGTAGAAACGCTGATCCGTAGGGCAGAAAAGAACGCAGGAACAGACTACCATGACAAGGGCAACACTGCAGTGCAATGAAAGGAGATGGCCTTTTTTCCTGAACAGCACTGGGTCCACTGGAAATACAAATGGGGAAGAAGGTACCCCTGCTTCTACCAAACATGAAATTCAATAGCAAATGGACTGCAGCACAGCCAAAAATTAAATAAACTAAAAAAAGGGCTTCTGCAGTAAGAATGCCTGCCTAGCAAGTGTAAGTCCAACCACAGTGCCACCAAAAAAAAAAAAAAAAAAAAGTGCTCTCAAATGGACTTCAGCTCTAAATATCAAAGTTCTAGGTTTGTTTTTTTTTTTTTAATGTTTTCATGATTCTGAAGTAGACAAAACTTTTTTAAAATTAGTTAATTTTTTTTGAGACACGGTCTTGATATTTATTCCAGGCTAGTACTGAACTCACTAGGTAGCCCAGAATGGCCTTGAATTCGAGATCTTCTTGCCTCAGCCTCATGAGTACTGAGATTACAGACATGCAGCACCATGCCACTATCAAAATTTTTTTTGGGCAGCATTGGGGCTTGAACTCAGGGCCTCATGCTTATTAAGCAGGTGCTCTACCACTTGAGCCATTCCACCAGCCCAAAACTTTCTTAATCAAGACGTAAAAGGGGTCATTCTCATTCTCACTCTAGAGATGACTCACTTTCAGTGTATTGAAAGTATATTCCCCTCCTAATAAACTTTGCTATCATTTTCACTATTTAAAAAGAAAGGAGTGAAGAGACTAATCATAAAACAGCAATTTGATGAGCTGCTTTACATCAAAATTAAGAACTTTGCTCTTCTAGAGATAGCATTAAAAGAATGAAAAGGTAACTTTAGAGTAGAAAATATTTTACAATATATTTATCTTACAAAAGAAAAAGGACTTATATCCAGGATATACAAAGAATTTCTAAGCAGGGCATGGTGGTGGATGCCTGTAATTCCAACAGTTGGAAGACTGAGGCAGTCAGATATTTAGTTCAGGTAAGTAGGATCTTGCTTCAAAAAAAAAAACAAAAAACAAAAGAATAAGTCTGAAAGAAAAAGTCAGACAACCACATATAAATGTAGACAAAACATAAGCCCATTTCATAAGTAAGGGTGTCCAAATGGCCAATAACACATGACAATGACAAAGTGCTTATGTTTGTTAGTCAGCAGGACAATGTAAATTAAAACCACAATATGAAACAAGGCATGTATGCCTGTAAACCCAGCTACTTGGGAGGCAGAAAGATCATAAGTTCAAGGCCAGCCTGGGTGAGACCCCATCTTTATTAAAAAAACAAAAGCAAAAACAAAAAAAAACCACAAAATGGCTAAAATGAAAGAAAAAAAAAAGAAAAAAGTAAAGCAACTAGAAATCTTGCATGACCACTTGGGGCAACTGTTTGGCAAGAGCTACCAATGCAGAACATGTGTATAACCAGCCATCTCTAGGCCCTCTACCTGCGAAATGTGTGTGGGATGATGTACACCATAAGATGGGACAGAAACACTCACAGGAACAGTTCCACCAATGGCCAAACTCTGGAGCTGCCCAAGTGCCCCAATAGTAGAAGAGACCATGAATGAAACTCTTAAATATGGTGCAAAGTAAAGAAACAAGACACTAAACATATAAAGTGAGTGCATAAACAGGCAAAGGTGCTGAGTTTCTTGAACTATTTGCCCAGGCTGGCTTCAAACCTCGATCCTCCTGATCTCTGCCTCCTGAGTAGCTTGGATTATAGGCATTAGCCACTGGTCTCCGGCCAGAGCAGGAATTTGAACCCAGGTCTGGCAAATGCAAGGCCCCAAATTCTACCCTAAGTGTGGCCTCTTAGCCACACTTCTGTATCCCCAGGGCAATGGTTCCTCTCAAGACAGAAGTATGAGAGGTACTGGGGCAGCCTGTGATCCCCACCCCTCAGCCGTGCTCCCAGCCATCACTTTCAACAGATGCCTCCAGTTTGTTTTCACTTGCCTCCTGTGAATATTAACTGAGAGACTACCAACATACAAGGCCCAAGTTTCAGTGGGTAGCATGTATCAGCGAAGCAAACAGATCCCAGTCTCTCATTTCTAACCACCAAAGAGACTTCTGTTAGGTCTCTTGACCTAACATAACCTTGACCATGATGTGTTTAAAATGGTATTAAGCATCTGAGCATTTCCTCCTCAAAACAGGAAGCACGGTAAAGGCAGCAGGTTTCGAGGCCAGTGCACATGCTCTGAACCCTGATTTGTCATTGACAGGTTATAAGGCAAATGAATGTCTTTGAGCCTCCATTTTATCAGAGGAATAACAGAATGGTGAATGAATCCTGGCTTTTTTTCTTTCCTCTAGTATGGGGACTTGAACTTAGGGACTTGCCCTTGCTAGGCAGGTACTCTACCACTTGAGTCAAGCTTCCAACCTGTTTTTTGTGTTTTTGAGACAGCATGTTGCTTTGTAGCCCAGGCTGGTCTCAAACTTGTGTTCCTCTTGCCTCAGCCCCCTGAATGCTGGAATCACAGGAGTGTGCCACCATACCTGGCTCTACGGCTCCACTGCTTACTAGGTAGCTTTCTCCTGATGATCATTTACTAGATGTGTGACTGAGTAAATCATTTATTCTCTCTGTGCCTCAATTTCCCCAATCACTGAAAAAGAGGTAATAATAGTACTCATTTCATAATGTGTTGTGAGGACTAAATGAATTAATAGATGTGAAGTGTTACAAAACAAATTCTTCAGAAGTATGAACTGTACTAGGCACCAGAGGTTCACGCCTGTAATCCTAGCTACTCAGGAGGCAGTGATCAGGAGGATCGTGGTTTGAAGTCAGCCTGCACAAAAACTCTGGGAGACCCTATTTTGAAAAACACCCATCACGAAAAAGGACTGATGGAGTGGCTCAAGGTGTAGGCCCTGAGTTCAAACCCAGTACCACACACACACACACACACACACAAGAAGTATGAACTGTTATTATTAGCTGACAGAACTACTGACAGGAAGAGACATGTCACTGAGCTTACTATGTACTGAGCACTTTGCAGATATTTCTTTCTTTTCCTCTTTTTTTTTTTTTTTTTTCCTCCAGTGTTTTGAGACAAGACCACACTGTATTAACCTGGGCTGGCCTCAAACTCAAGATATTCCCATCTTAGCCTCCCGAGTGCTGGGATTATAGGTTTGTTCCACAATGCCCTGCAGACAATAGAGCTTTACTCCTGATTATATCCCCTCAGGGAGAGATTATCCTTATCATCTCTGTGCTACAGCTAAGATTTGTTCAATGAGGTTAACACATAGTGAGTACACAGCAGAACAGGATGGGAACCCAGGCTTTCAGTGCTCCAGCTTGAGGTCATGGTGGGTGTTATTTATCCCTGCCCAGGTCCTTAATTT